CATTGATGGCCTCTTATTTGATAAAACTTCCACATCTCTAGAACAACGTACTTTATGTTAAAATAATCTCCTATACGGGTGAAAACAACAACAAAAGTCATCGTTATAAAAAAGTTAAAAAGTATCGGAAGATGAATTCCACGAGATTTTGAAAAAAATTCATAATTTGTATTTACCCTGTTTCAATATTACCAAGCACAGCAGCATTTTCTTCCAACGAACTATCTCTAAAATGGTAGTAATTGTGCATAGCAACATCGCATCTCAATTGAGATTCCCAGTTCTCTGGAGGTACTACTGTACCTTGTACCACCATGTCAGGTACAAACTTGCGTAGGGATAGGTTCTTCAGTGTTCGCTCAAAAGGAGACACTTCCATAAAGTCTTGAATCACTTTAATCCTGGAAAAATAAGACGAGATTGTATATTGTTCAGCCTGTTCATCCAGTGTCTTGGTGAACCAAATATAGGTACGAACCCCATCCCACTTCAGTTGGCCCAACTATGGAAATCTTAGTTTTTTTCTTATAAAACTCAAATAATAAAAATGTAGCAGGGTGTTATAGGTTTAAAATATTAACAATGAATATTTTGACAATATATAGTAGAAAACACCAACTTTATCACTCCGTAATCAAATTTGCAGTATAAAAATAACACATGTTGCAATTACAGCATATCAACCTATTTTCATTTCAATGAAAAATAAGTCTATAATTGTTTTTATTAATCACAGCTGTCAGAATACGTTTAAAATAGTTTTGGGTAGTTAAGGTTTTCAAAATGGGTAGAGGAAAGGTTATTAGTGAGAAAATTCGGTTACTGATAATTAAATTTTTTAATTCTGGGAAATCAGAAATTGCAACTTTGTTAGACTTATCGCGGTACAGTGTGAGAAATATTGTTAGAAGATATAACGTAACCGGTTCAGTTAATATTAAGCCACGATATGTGAAAAAAGGTAATATCACAAATGCCGACCGAAGAGCATTAAGAAGAATAATCTTGAAAAACAGGCGTGCCAATTATTTACAATTAAGTGCTCTGTGGAGTGACGCTGTTGGAAGGAGAATTTCGAGGTCCAAAACTCATAGAGAGGCCCACAAACTGGGATTTAGCACTTGCAATGTAAGTTTTCTTATAAAAAAAGTGAAGTAAAAACCCTAAAGTTGCACAACTTGTTTATAGGCCAAAGAAAAGCACTATTAACTCCACTGCAAAAGAAAAATCGGCTTAGATGGGCTAAAGAACATAAACAATGGACACATCAACAATGGTGTGCAATACAATGGAGTGATGAGGCCCGATTCGAAGTTTGTGTTGGTGACAGTCGCAGTAGAGTTATTATGGTCTGAGGCAGTATGTCATTAAAAGGAGTAGGAAAACTTCATTTTATTGATGGAAATGTGGATACAAGCAAATATTTGTCAATTTTAGAAGAATCGCTTTTACCAGTGATGGAAGAATGTTTGACATCCGGCCAAGATTTTGTGTTTCAGCAAGATGGGCTAGCAGTCCAGATCTGTCACCTATTGAAACTTTGTGGCACGAGATGAAAAAGGTTCTACGACAACATCCTGCTCGTACAATCACCGAACTGAGACAAAAGCTTCAAGAAATATGGGATTGTTTTACACCAAATTTTTGCCAAAACTTGGTTAACACTATACCCCAAAGAATTTCAGCCGTAATAAAAAATAGAGGTGTTGTTACTCAATGGTAATCTTTCAATTGTTGCTTTGTTAACTTCGCGCATTTATTCCCACATTGTTTGTTTGTTCAGATGTTCTATTAGTTCTAGGTCAAATATGTATTTTTTACGACTAAAGTGTATCTAAAATGTTTTTGAGAAAATAAATTGTTTTAGAAGTAAATAGTTTCGTCATGTTTAGTTTATAAAGGCATATTTTGGTACAAATCTTATAGTGGGCCAACTCAAGTGGGAAGGGGCTCGTACATATTACATGAAATTAATAAATGCTCAAGTGCGACAAGAATCTACTTAAAGCCTTTAAACTGGAATGAATTATGATAGCTAAGAAAATGGTCCTTAGAAAGTTTATCAGTTCATAACATTTCCGAAAAAACGCTAATTCTCCCAAAATTGTTATTATTTTACCTGGCTTTATTTGAGGTGGAAGTTCAAAATAAATTGCACATCACAAGATGGCATGACTGGAATACCAATATGATGACTCGTCTCTTTAGGTGCCATACTAGATTTTCTCGTTGGTGAATAGTTATTAATCGTGATTTCATTAACGTATGTGTTATACATTAATTATTGAAAAACAGCATTTCTCAAGTAGGCTTTGAAATTATCAGATACTGATTTGTTTCAGGATATCATCAGTCGAACATGACTTTTTTAACTGGGAATAGACAAACAGTTCCTATTTCCGCTTTAAATGATGTGCATAACATGATAAATATTGGTACGATAGTTAGTCTTAACTCATCGAATGAAGAACAACGTAACTATAATTGTTTCAAATCACAGAGAAAAAGGTATAATTTTAAGAAACAGGCAGAAGCATCTTGAAGCAAGTAATAGCTTTGAAGATGTCGAATGCTGCTAAATACATTTCGTATCCATCATATCTAAACCGATGCAAACATGTTGCATGTAATAATATTAATCTACGGTTGAGTCGTCATGTACGGATGCACAAAAGCGCATGTTGCCTGTTATATGGAGCCCATATAGGTCAAGGTCAAAAAACGAAATTCTAATCATGTTACTTTTTTGAGCAGAAAAAGTTGTAATATTAACATGTAATTTATTCTGCAGGCAAATAAAGTCAGCGAAAAAACAAAAACAATTTTGATAATATTCAGTTTTTCTGAATTGAAAAACTCTGAAAGTGAAATTTACTTAGTAACCCCATTTAACCGACGAGAGGGTCTAATTTGAGACACCAAGTATATGTTTCTTGAAGCATTCTTCCAGTGAAAAAGATATATACACATAGAGGACTACCAAAATGGAGTAGAGGCTGAACTATGTATTACTTACTTTGGTAAAGGAAACATTATAATCTTTGTACCATTTTTCTCGTTTTTGCTTATGTCGCTGTGGATATGAATCATATTATCTTTATCTTTTAACTGAATATCAGTTCGAACTTCATTTATTGGCAACGATGTAAATGATGTGAATGATTTTTTCTTGGTAACTTCCATTGCACCTGTATAGCCATGCTCCTCGTCCATTACTAAAGAAGTTAGCGATGCAAACGATTTCTTTTTCGACATCCCAAGACTTTTTGTCTCCTTGAAGACATCCTTGTGAGAAAAAAATTGCTCGCTTTTGATGTTTACTAGTTTTTCATCGTCACCTAATATGAATACCACAGGCTTGTCGCTTGCTGATTCATCCACTTCATGTTCCAGTTCCTCTTCAATCAGCGTCTCATTTATAATATCTGTATTGTGAGATAGTCGACTTATCTTGCCATAATCTCTTAAACTTCGAAAATTTTTATCACAGATAGAGTTTACAGCGACAAATTCTTCCAAACTATCGACTAGCTCTACGTTGCGCTTAACTACTCTACGGTATCTCAGGAAATAACTTAAAAATCGAAGAACCTTAGTAACTAAAAACTCTTCTGATCCAAATATCACAGTTTTAGAAATTCTCGGAATATCTGCCATGGTTCCACACATATCCAGAAGTTGACATCGCAAAGCATTGTACGAGTTAGAATAACTGCTCGATGTTTTGAAACAAGTGTTCACCCAGCCTAAGTGGTAAGACAGCACTGCAGTCAGCAATGTGCCTAAAAAGCTGAAACAGAGATTATTTTTAAAGTTGAGTTTGTTTTTTGGAGGTATTTCAATTCCCTTCTGTTTTACAGTGCAGTTAGAGTAATATCTTAGACTAAAAGAGTGGAATTGCATATAGTCAATGAGTTTAGGAACATTTGAAATACCTTTCCGAAGGTGTTAAGTGCTATTAACACGTATAAGTTATGGTATCCTTAAAGCATTAACACCATCTAAGTCCCTACGAGTATAACACCGTCCCATACTCGTGAGACAGGATGTGATGTTTGCATTTTTACCCGAGACTACTGATTTCTGGAAAATTCGTAAGTGTAATCTTATAATATAAAAAGGGTCTTTGACCATTCTCTGTACTCATTTCGTTACTTGTTCTTTTGCTCTCAACTGTTGCTGATGTCTCAATAAAAGTTAGTCTACAGAAGTTACTGAAGTATTTCTCCAACATCATTTGGCGATTATAACAGAAATAGGAACGCGAGTGATGATTCCTCAGTGCAATCAATCACCCACGATCCACACGTATTTAATTTATATGGTTCAAAGTCCATACCTCTTGGTTGGCAACAATTAGGTAGTTACTCTAATCATATTAGACAAAAATGCCCCTGGTTTGCGTAATAATTGTTAAACCTGTTTTTATTGCTGCAAGTTGTCCAAGGGGGTATTCAAACCATGGTCGCATAAAATGGATATACCAGTTTTGTGGGAAAACTTTTTATTCGACAACAAATAATGAGAAAACGTGTTTTTCGGGATTCAATCGAAAGTGTTGGCAGGAACGAAAAAACTCATATAAGATTTTTAGGTATTTATGAGACCTACAAAATGAGACCTCACGTAAAAAGATCCAACTAATAGCAAAAAGGTCATGACTAAAAACGAGGCAAACTGCAGGTTTTGGCACTTGTTGGTAATACGACGACGGTTTCTCGCAGATATTTGAAATTCTTCAAAGTCGTAGGATTTGTACTTCTAAATAACCACAACAAAATTGGAGTAGATTGGTCAAGTAGGTTTTGAGAATTTCTAATTTTTTATCCCAAAACACCGGCCATCACTGCTAGTTTATTGAGCGATATACAGGGTTGGTTCAAAGGGTATTTTATAGCAAAATACACTAGTTTACCTTGCCGATATGAATCGCAAGACATTCTGGAAAATAAATATTATTTTTATGCAAACAAATTCAATCATTTCGTATTTGTGAGTAATTCGCAACAAAAGTTGATAGACACATCCGCTTTATTTAAAACTGTATATAATAACATATGTTTTTCGAATACAAAATTATTTCCGAAAAATTTGTTAATATGATTAGACTAAGAAGAGTTATCTGTTAGCCTGACACCAGTATACATATTGTCAAATAAAAAATGCTTAAATTTCGCGGGTTTGAAGAGATTGACATTTTGGTATACATGCCCCTAAAGTAACATATAATAAAAATTTCTGTTGTTTCGATTGCTGACTTTGTTTGTGCCAGCCCCTAAGATTAGACTTTTTTATGAGATCGGCGATTTTCGTTTGCTCAAAGAAATGAATCAAAGATTTTAAATCAAATTTTGAGTAAAAATTCAAATAAAGTGTGTGAAATGTCAACAAGGGCCTATAGTTCTATGGCTAATACAAGAATGTACACATCAACAACCGATGAAATCATCGAAAAAGTGAAATAAACTGTTATGTACGATCGCTTAATCACAATCAGAGAAGTCTCTGATGATTGGCAAAATGTGTTCCTGAAATGTTGAATTTTGAGCAAAAACAGCGGCGAATGGAAATTGCTCAAATGTCACTAAATGAAGTCAACGGCAATGCAGAATTACTGAAACGTGTTATAAAAGGTGACAAAACATGGAATATGACGTCGAAAGGTCAACGCCGTTTGCGACTAGGAATCCGAAAAAGACGCCCGGATCTGTAGGAGGAACAAACAATTCATAGCTTTTGCACCACGATAACGCACCTGCTCACATTTCATTGCTTGGTCGTGAATTTTTGGCCACGAACAATACTGTAATAAAACCTCAGCCTCCATATTCGCCAGACATGGCTCTGTGTGACTTTTTCCTATTTAAAAAAATAAAGCGAAACTTGAGGGGCCGTCTTATTACAAGCATTGATGATATTAAGTGCGCATCGCTCAAAGAGTTAAACGCTATCTCAATGATCGAGTTTGGGAAGTTTTTCTAGGATTGGAAGAAGCGCTGAAGAGGACAACATTAGTGTAGACCTGTAGACGAATAAATGAATATTAATACTATAATACACCTCGTATATAAGGCACTAAGACAAACCTATGATAACACGAAAGCCAGTTTACTATGTGGTGTTGACATACTACCATTGTTTGGCTCTGATATTTTATTATTGACAGTATTAACACTTGTATCATAATTTTGATGATATTAAGTGCGCATCGCTGAAAGAGTTAAACGCTATCTCAATGATCGAGTTTGGGAAGTTTTTCTAGGATTGGAAGAAGCGCTGAAGAGGACAACATTAGCGTAGACGAATAAATGAATATTAATACTATAATTCACCTCGTATTTAGGGCACTAAGACAAACCTATGATAACACGAAAGCCAGTTTACTATGTGGTGTTAACATACTACCATTGTTTGGCTCTGATATTTTATTATTGACAGTATTAACACTTGTATCATAATTAGCTTCAAATACTACTTTAATTATGACGCTTATTCCATTGTCAAAAAACAAAACAGCATGCTCGGTTTTACTTTGTTTTTGAAACTAACTTGTACTTGAATATTTCACGCGACAAGTATTTTACATGTTAGATTTTAAATCAAATCAGATTTATACCAATGAATATATCACTGACTTCGTTACCGAAAGGCTTCGAGTATACCACTTCAACGATTATAGGTAAGCGAATAAAATTATCAGAATTCCAAAACTGTATGTGTCTTTCTCTGATATACTTTAACTGACTTTCTTACTGGTATATTAAATATCTAGTTTCATAATATTTTAATCTAAACACAACTTAATTAGATTTAAGTATTCATACTGATCAAATTATTTTCGATAGATTCAAAATTACACATTAAAAAAGTGATTTTTACTCATAAGAGCTGGATCCAGAGGCACAAACGTTTATTATTTATGAATAAGCCAATGTTCGGCTTCGTCCAAAAAACTGACTTTCGCTCGGCTTTAATTAAAATATGTATCATCTTTTCGCTGTACTCACAATTTATTCTCTTTCGTATTTAATCGAACCAAAGTATCACAGAACAGGTCAAATTGCCCCGTTTCAGTGCTCACGTCATTAGTCTCACTTTTAATACTGAATAGATTTATAATTCGAGAAAAAGTAATTTTCAGTTTTCTGGCTGTATCCACTGTATTTTCGTTTGTATCAGATATACTCTTCATCGCTATAGCATCTGCTAAGTCTATTAGCCATTGTATGGATGCTTTGGAGATCTCTGACATGACTTCATAGAAAAAGTTTGGATTGTTGTATGTACAAAATAAGTAGTATTTCAGTCGATTCAATATTGACTGTACGTAAAGTAAGTGCTTCAAGTAGAAATCCCTACAGCTGAAAGTAAAAAAAATGTCAGTAGATGTCCATATTAGACAACATCAAATTCAGACTTACTTATTATGTGACGTAATAGAAACTATAATCGCTATACCAAATCTACTAAATCGTTCTCTTGGATTTCCTGAACAACTGCTGTGTAACTGTTTCGTGGAGCTGGTGCAAGAACTATAATTGCTGAGTGATAAACTGGTCATTATTGGTATCGTTGCTAAAAAAATTTGACAAATCGTAAGTTCAAACAGAAAATGAATGAATGGACTTATTACCTGTACTAGATCTGTCAAATTGAAAATTGGAAAACAATGTACTGTTGAAAGATTGCTCTCCAATCCCTGAGTCTGTGCTTATTGTCGAGTTGCGGTTGTTGAGCCACTTCAGCTTACTGAAGGCTGAAAAATTAGCATTGATCCGCTTAGTAGGTAGTAAGAATGAAATGATGGTATAACTCTGCGTATAGAACTATCTACGATACTCACATTCCATTTCACCAAGTGTTCCTCCGCTACTATCCATTATTCCATGTTCTATTGCGACTGAAGTAGCTGATTTGGGCAAAAGTCCACAAGGTTGCAGAGCCCTAAATTTTTGTCCATATTGCGCGGAAAACACCTACAAAGCAACTCTCATAAGTCTTAATATTAGTTATGAAATTGCACATCCAAAGACATTTGTTTTATTTTGATCAATGCCTTTTAGTTTGATCAACCCATTTGCATAAAACGTAAGAAACTCTTAAAGTAAGTATTTCAGATACCAAATGCAAAATCCTTTCTGGAATGGCATCTGAAATACTAGATACAAAATAAGTATCTGTTAAATACTGTTTAAATATAAAATACTTTTATAAGAAAACATTTAGTTGAGTTTAAGTTTATATTATTACATAATTACGAATAAGTCGCGTTGATTTCGCAAAGGTGATAAAACATTATACTTTTGGGATTTTAATAGAGATAAGTAAAACCAGTTCTTCAAACGCTTTATCATTTTTCTTCGATGAGGCCTCATTGTCATACCCTAAGTACAGATATAATATATAAAGAGTCGCCCCCTAGGCACAGAATTTATCAAGTAGGTGTTATATTTTAAAAATATCGTTTTCATTGTAAGACAAACATTTAAACTATTTAAGCTAGTATCTTCGCCATCTATCAATTTGGCCCTAGACTAAAGTTTCAAGGGCACGTTCAGTTTTGTCTACTTTGGCATCAAATATGAAGAAATGCATATACTATATATGACTATTAGTGAAAGTATTTATATACCAAAGCAAAGGTAAATGCATTTTTAAAAAAGTAGTTTAGAAACAAGATGAAAAGACGTATCTTCATATCAGATAATTGTATTTTAAATAAGTCATATATCTGCTGATTTCTTATGAGATTTATCAGATCCGATTATTTCTAAACTTTACTTCTACAGGATCCGTCAGAAAGAACGCATGGTTTTCGAATGGGTACTACATCGAGTGGGCTGGTCACGTGTCGGTGGGGAAGGGCGTGTTGGATAGTGGGAGAAGCGCCGTTTCAGTTGGCAAGATGGTTTGGAATGTTGAACAGCGTGTGTTCACTGTACTTTCAAAATAGCGAGTATGACGTTCGAACGCAACGTGAGTTTCGCGTTTACTTTCGTGTTCCACGTCGTGGGACAGTACCAGACCGTAACACCATTTTGAGATGGGTGGAAACATTCAACACAACAGGTAATGTGATGAAGAAAAAGCCACCAGGGCGAAACCGTACTGTTAGAACCCTCGAAAACGTAGACAGAGTGAGAGTTGACACGCTGCAAAGCCCAAATCGTTCCGTCCGTTTGCGTGTCAGTTCCCTAGGGATCCACGCGTTCTCTGTACGTCGCATCTTGAAGGATTTGGTGTACCATCCTTACAAAATCCAAGTTTGTCCACAACTGTTGCCAGGGGATTATGCACAACGTGTTAATTTTGCACAAGCTCATGATTGAACAGTTGCATGACAATGACATGACGTTGTTTATGAGTGATGAAGCACATTTTCATTTACATGGATACATCAATGAACAAAATTGTCGATATTGGTCTCCAGTGAACCCCCAACAGTTGCATGAGCACCCCCTGCATACCCTGAAAGTTACAGTTTGGTATGCAGTAAGCCAAACGAGGATTATTGGCCCTTATTTCTTTGAGGATGATGGAGAAACAACTACTGCGAATTCAGAGTGTTACATCCACATGCTGAACAACTTTTTTTTCCGGAACTTCGACGTCGACGTGTCTGTTTCAGAACAGTGTGGTTCCAACAAGACGGGACAACATCTCACACAGCTCGCACTTGGAACTTCTTCGGCAAAAATTCCCAGGACGTCTCATTTCACGTCATGCGATATTCCATGGCCCCCTCGCTCCCCGGACCTGTCAACGTGTGATTGTTTTTTTATGGGGCTACCTGAAATCAAAAGTTTACCAAAGCAAGCCGCGGATCCTCGTCGCTTTGAAGGAGGAAATTAGAAGAGAAGTAACCGAAATTCCTGCACGGATGCTGGCCGATGCAATGGGCTCATTTCGGGAGAGGCTTGATTCCTGCATTTCGGCTCAAGGAACGTAAATTTTGTTTTACTCAAAAAAATGGCATGTATCTCTGAGTATTTTGATATAATAAAAGATTTTTTACCATACTTATTTTGACTGATCTACTCATTTAAAAAGCATGCGTTCTTTCTGACGGACCCTGTATATGCGGTGATCCTAATAAAAGCATGGCATCAATAACGTTGTTTATTACAATTTCATTTACATCTGATCAATTTGGTCGAACCACTTATGTTGACGATTTTGTTATTACTTTTTTTTGTAAATTTTTTGTAACTTTGGTTAACACGAAAGCAACTGATACGTCATTACGTTTTTTTTTTCGATATTTTCTTAAGAATGAGTTTCCAAAATGACCGCTGTGTACAGATTACCTAATCCAAAGCATGTTTCCATGAAGTTTCGATCTACCTGTGTAAATATGAGGTGCTGCTGAGACAGGTCGTGTACTTTGAAGTAGGTGTCATTGTATCTCATGGCAGTTGAACCAAATATAATCTCAGGCAATCGCCCCAGACCCTCATGTTCTACGCTGTTCTAAAATTAAAAACAGGAAAATTTACGATGTTTAGATAATAAATTTCAATATTTTGGCAAATAGTATGAGCGCGAGACTAGCATGATGATAATATTTATGTGAAGTCGCGTAATAATCACGCGCTGTAACAAATCTGGAATCGATGGAATCTGGTAATATGATGAATCAACATTTTGGTGCAGTTTTTCGACATGCACGATAGACACATTTCAAAAAAAAAACTAAAATAGGTAACATTTTTTTTATTTTATATTGTATACAGTGGATCTAGGATGACATGTCAAGGTCTTGGATACATATAGATCACAAAAATGTACTGTCGCAAGATCGTGGGCGCCCATAGGATTTTGTCACATGGGGGAGCAATCATCTGCTTAAAACAACTTTTTGTGAAAATGTATCAGACCCCAAACCTTTTTGAGGAGGGGTGGGTAGCTGATTTTCTCGGGGAGGGGGGAACATCTTAAGAATCCTCAACATTGTAAACAAGACAATACTAACCATTGCGTATTTTAAGAGATGAGCAGATTCTCAAGAGGGGACCCGCTTCTGCCATTCTCCTGCGGGTGCCCATGCACAAGATCCTATACACCCTATTTCACTAGTATCTATCACGATTTGACTCAGGTGAACAGCTGATCAGCAAGTGACATTTTTGTGGTATAGTCTGTGACGTTGGCAATAATGAATCGGGGAATCGGGTGTAAATCAAGAAAAACTTGCTTGAGTCGTTTTGATTTTTTTTGTATGTAAATGAACTTTCTATAAAAGTGCTGTTAGTAAGTACAAAATGAATCTGTAGCGTACAAAAAACAAAACAAAATACGGCCCTGACTCTGAATTGTGTGTCCTGTGTCGATATGGAGAATTTTGAGATATTACTAGATAATGAACTGTCACTCTTCCGTGGTGGATACTCGTGAAATAGGGTATAAAAAATGTTTTGCATGTCTCATCCCGAAGATACATGTCCAAAAGGACGTCACGGGAAATTGATTTTTCTCAAAAAACTTTGGAACGATGCTAGCTTATTCAACTCAATAATTTGGGCTCTTACATAATGGCATTCATGGAAAACATTGAGTTTTCCAGGAAGGGACTCGCCTAACGTAACATTGCTGATTATTTACACAATGTATAATAATGGCTAAACAGTGATATTTCTTTTAGCTGGAACGTGTTCATGTAACATCTGTTATTTTCTCACAAGACAAAAAATGGTGCCCTTGACGTGTCAACTGGTGTATTGCGACAACAGTTCTGGTTAGTTTTTCGCGGTCTCAAAACTCTCGAAGTAGTGTAGCGTTTTTGGGGCATGGGTGATGTGTTTGGTACAGCCAAAACAACAACAACAACAATCATGTTCCCTTGTCGCCTCTGGGAACGGAAATGCTTACTGGACTGGCTGGTTTTGGGCGGCGCCATCTTAAAATTGTAATGACGGCTTCGCGCGATCTTGGCGTGGCACTCTTGTTGCAACACAATGTATGCTAGCAGATAAAACAAGTGAACTATCATCTGGAAGACAGATAAAGATAAACTATTTTCCATTGTCATTTCAATCAGTACTTTGAAAAAGGCCACCGTGGTGGGCGAAACGTCAGTAAAGAGTAATTATAGGCGATTTTATTTGGCCAGAATAACATGGAGCTCTATCAACGGGATCATGTTTGAGTTCAATAAAATTTATCGATTTAAACTCCAGTAGCTTACCAAGAAAATCTACAAAAACTATAGTTTGATGAAGAGATCTGAACATTTATATTTTTCCAGGCTTTCAGGTCGCTGGCCACGAAGCTTCTATCAGAATTGCTATATCTTCAAATTGGTGTAACTAATACACTAGCTTTGGTTAATAGAACTGTACTCAAAGAAGAGTGCTACTGTTTTTAGAAATCTCGATCAATTCCGAACAAGAGTACATTCTTTGGCATACTCATTACTATGGTCTAGGCTTGGTCTCAGATAGGAAAACGAAGAAAGATAAGCAACTATCCTCCATCGAGGATATGTATATCGAAATAAGGCAACCTTTGGTACTTTGGCGCCATCTATTACCATAATAGATTTCTGCCAGATTGGAATGGCAAGCTGTCTGTTGGAAACAGACCCCAGTTTGCTTTTAACAGCCGGCAGGGTTATTATGTAAAGAACCTTAAATATCTTCAAAAAAACGATAAAATGTCAACTTATTGACTAGGTAGCTGCTAAGTGTGCAAATAGTTTATTCTGCGCCTGCTACAAGTTAGGATGAAATGAACAACTAGTTTTAAGTTGACATCATTTAGGAGAACCTACATAATATCATAAAAAACCTACATAATGTCAAAAAATCGATATTGTGTCACTTTACGTATTACTTAACGGGTCACCACTACTAGTTTGTTCAATGGCGAGGAGTACACCCTATCTACTATAGCTCCAGAATAGGCGGCATCTCGCGGCCACACAGTTTGTGATCCGGCTAATAAATGCAAACTGGGATACAGCTCCAATAGACAGTTTGTCGTTTCACTCTCGCTGTGGTTGATTCTGGTAATAGACGGTACTTTGTACTATCTTATTTCCATTAGGCTTTGTGTTCTATTTACAGTCGAGAGATCGCTACTATCTTATTTTGAAACCTCGAGAGTCGTTCACCGAGCATCTTGCTCAAAGCGTAATACACCATCGAGACTCTCGCTCGAGAGAATACCCTGGATCAATTTTTCGTCCTGTTGCCGTCGGGTCCCCTTGTTCTTCAATCGTTTTCGCTATTTTTTACTCGAATAGATGATAGTTTTTTACGATGGATGAAAATAATGACGCTTATTCTCGCATGTTCGACGATTTATTGAATGATGCAGAAGCAACTGCATTAACATGTGAACAGCACATGAATCAGTTATTTGTGAAACCCCACATGTCCAAAAATAACAATAGCGAGAAAAGATGAAAAAACTGTTATATGCAAAAATACCTTAAATCATCATGATAACAAGTAAAAAAAGTTTGATTGTTTGTACGAGAGTTTTTTGAAAAAATGACAAAAAAACTTTTATGTATCTTGAGGAAAAGAATGAAAATCTGGTGGACATGTGGGGTTTCTAAAATAAACACGCAACTTTTTTGAGAAAAAGTTTATTGGACCCATTAGCACGAGGTACATTAAAAAAATAGAAGACTCGGTCAATTTTCATCCACATCGTCATCGGTGCCACCAACAGTTGGCCATCCAAATATCTCCCTATAGAAGTTTTCGATTTCTTCACCTTTTTCTACGATGAATTTTTCGAACTTTCTGATGCTTTTTTGCACTAATTGGGACTTTTGAGTTAGGGTATGCGACCACTTCGGCAAAAGTTCTAACAGCAGTAGATGTTCCCAACCTAAATTCGTGCTTTATTAGGCCATCAATGAAGTCACGAGCAGTCACAATGCCCTTTTCATCATTGTTGTAGCTGAAGTGCATGAAATTTGAAATCGAAAATGAAATTTTATCTTCTTTTCTAACACCCCTTCCATAAGATTCTGTGGACAAAGAATTTTTTTTTGTATTAAAGGGGCCACCATTTCTTATAGTCTTTGATCAATGTATTCTCTCCATCCATTACGTATACGGAAAATTTATTTTTAGTGCTTGAGTTGAGAATCAAGGAAACATAATCTTTTAGCAGATAAATTCGGTCATTTTTCTTAATTTTTCTCTTCACCTTGGCAAAATCCCTGTCACATGGCATGTACGAATGGCCTCTTACTGGGAAGTATTGGTTCACAGTCTTGAATCGTCCAAGGTCTGTAAGACCTAAGCACATTCTAAGAACTGAATGGTTTTTATTCTGACCACTGCATCAGAAAAAATATGGAAATTTTCAATGTTTGCTGGAACTTCATTGTTTATAAAGTGCATAATGAAGGAGCATAGCTCGTTTGGTCCTTGTTTGCCCATACCTTCGTGATATACATAAAACATAATTTTTCCAGATTTTAGGTCGTGGATATTAAAGACATTGACAGTTAGTTGATGAAGGCAAAATGTGTCTTGGACCGGAATAACAGGAAGTGCAAGATTTTGCATGTAGTCCACGCAAATTGCTCCTACACTGGGATCTGTTTGGCATAACTCTTCAATCGACTTCATCTTGCTGTAGAATTTTTTGGCTCTTCTTTGGTGAACTATTTTTTCCGCCACAGCTACACGTTTAGCAACAAGCTGAAACGTTCCTTGAATATCTTGCGGTAAAAGCTATACTTTACAGATGATTCGGGATTGTTTATAAGAAACAATTCATGCATTTTTTTATATCCAGCTTCTCATTATGGTAGTGATAGTCACGGCTACCGTAATGTGACCTTTTAACTGGAAATGAACGAATATGCTCCTCTACTTGCCTGACCACCTGTCCAGGTTTTGCATTCTCTGGGTTTTTTTTGCCTCTTCTATCATTAGGTGGCTTTCCCATTGATAATAACTTACTCAAGCGACGAACACGGTCTACAGTGACTCCATGGATACTAATAAAAGTTGTTTTGCATACACGGTGCTTTCCCGAACTGGAAGACACATAGTATTTGTATGATTTGCTTTTTTGGCATTGCATTATTTTGGTCTACTCTAGGTCGTTTCCTGGAAATCTCTGAGCACTCTATTAGAGCCTGCATATATGCATCCTGTTCATTTTTCGTCTCTAGAGCATAAAATCTATCAAAAATCTCTTGCCGCTCACCTTTGGGAATTTTATCAAAACAGCATGACCTACACCTAAAAGTGGAAAATGATATTTTGACCGACAAAACAAAAATGACTCGTATTTCTCTTACCGGCATGGTTCACCTATTGTCCGCTGATTTGCTTTTATGCCTTTGTAATTCAGATATTCTTTACCTCTCACTCGTGCACCTTTAATCACTTCATTTTTATAAATAACTTGTTTCTGTCCCTTTTTGCGTTTTTTGGGAATAACTTCCGCGGAAAGGTCATCCTCGCACGAATACATTGTGAAAATGAGCTAACGGTAAACACCCGCAACGCATGCGTCTGTCATTTTTCGCGTAGAAGATAGGAGCCGTTTATTAGAGAAACACCACGTGTCCTGGACTTGTGGGGTTTCTCAAATAAATATATATTTTGATCTAGCGCTGACAGCGTTATATTAGTTGGACATATGCGATTTCTCTCCAAAACATGCATCTATATGAGAATATACCAGTGAGTTCAAAAAGTCAAAATGTTGAATTTATGGACATGAGGGGTTTCTCAAATAAACGATTCACATAGCGTTAACGACTATAGTCTCAAGTCACTTCGATTGTGGAGGGCCTAAGAACTGTGATGACAAACAAGTTATACCAGGGGCGGATCCATATGGAAATTTGGTGGAGGGGGCAAGCAGAATGAAGAGCTTGGATTTGTGCTTATCTGTCGGTGACAAAAAAATTTATCAAAAATGCGGATATAAGCAGCATTTTGAGACATTCAAATCAATATTCAATTTTTGTCTTCTCATGTAACCTCAATGTCATAATTTGCATCAAGAAGAGCTAATTCATTGTGTCTGTTCTGAAACATTATACTTATGAGCAAAGTTTCTATTCGAGGTAAAAAAAGATATTTCGCACTAATGTTCGTTTCTGACATGAAAAGCCCCAATGTAAAAAATAAGCAGAATTTCCAGCATATATTCTTCCAGTGATCTCCTGGGAAGATGTGAAAGACGTGTGCATATTTGTTCGGTCTGTATATTTTGTAAGTTTTGTCATCAGACTGCGCCACTGCTATATCTCCTAACATGTCCAACTTACATGAATACTTGTTGCACCTGCACCGTCTGTTCTTTTGGAAGTATTCCCGTTCAGAACGGATGTGTCGAACAAAAGATGAGATCCTTTGAATCTGCATTCTTTGTACAATACTATCCTAAAGTGCTCGGGAGTAAGATGGTCAGCAGTTGAACTGGAATATGGAAAAGGGCATTTAAAAGGAAACTTACGACATCTAAATCGTTTTATTCGTTCGTTACTGTGTGACGCTTTGTCCCTTGGTTACTTATTTGAGAGGGAGCTTGAAAGCAAGATGTTTTATGCATATCGAATATTGGTACTGAAGTAAAACTGTTTTTGAACACCATTTCTGAGTGGGCGTTGGGCGATGATTAAGATTTGTCAAAATAAACTGTTTTAGGTTCTATTTGGGTTGACGGTAGAACTTAGGAAATCAATTAATACCTTTTCCTCCAGAACTCTGATAATTTCTGGGTTAATGTTACATCATATTCATGTAAACACAGGAATCTATTCATTACTTGCAGTATCGATATTACGACCTATATTCTGTTTTTTGGTTGTCTGTAAACTTTCCTGGCCTTTAATAAACTGCTCACTATTTTTTACATATGACATTTTGATTTTATATGTTTGGAAAGACTTTCTGTATTTACTAATCAACAGTGAATGTTTTTTACTACATCGATCAGCTGCTGAAACGTTGTGTACATTTTGAAACTCGATTTAGTGCTGCACTATTATAATAAAAAATAGCTGCGTCGCCCATTGAGAGAAACAGAAAATTTGCTGAATATTTCAAATTCTCTTCGGAAGCTTAACCCTCCAATTCTACATTTACGTGTTACTGCTGCTCAAGTTTCATATGATAAATTGTTTAAATATTTATATAATGCACTTATAAATAATATGTGGATTCTCTCAGAACGGAATAGGTAGGATCTGTTCAAACTCAACAAAGATTTTTATACATTGTGACCAAACGCTGATCACCTTATAAAATTACGCTATCATTGTACTGAGCCAAACATTCTGACATTACACAATCTCATTTTTTTGCTAAGGCAGCCTTTCGACGTACAAAGGAAGTACGAGTTGTATTGAAATTTTATGCCCATGTGATCAAAACCATGTTCTAAGTCAAGAAAACTTTGGATGACCAATGATATACCAAGAGTGACACTATTTACGCGGTATCATAGAGTCTACCTCCTCGACGACAAACAAAAAACAACTCATAGTAAAGTTAGATATAAATATGGTGGTTTTACACTGGTATAATTACCTGCAACAAATTCCATATTTTCCTTGATTTCCTTCGGTGCAACTTCCTATAGCGCTGGTGCACGTGCGATAGTCCACATCAGCCATCAACTGACTCAACACATTCACATTTTTTTTAGTTTATGGAAAGCCAACATCCAATTCATGCCAGTAAATAGTAAATATAAAAATCACGTGCTTCTTCCAATGACGTGAAACGGGTCTAGTAAGCACTTGCCAAATCTCAACCGGAGTTCCGAACATTCATGAAAAGCTATTGCAGCAGATCAGGACTGTCCTTTTTTGTAATTGCAATGCAAATCCTAAATACGAGTACAAATTAACAAATACGAGTAAATATAAATTTTCTTTATTGTGCTCGTGAAATGCTGTTATTGACTCCAAATGAAGAAAAGCTTATTGTCGCAGTTTATTCAGCATCACTCCTGCAAGTCTGTTCTTATCAACAAAACTTCATTAACCTGAAATGCTCGATTTGATGCGATCATTAAGGTATACCTCCTCCCCTGCGAGCATTCCTCAATTTTCGATCGGCGGTTTATTGAAGATTGAACACACACCTCTTCCCTTATCCCGCCCCCACCCTTCAATTTCAAAATGCCGGCAGAATGTAGAAAATTCTTGACTAACCAGATGAAAGTTGACAGAATATTGAAAGAAGTTTGAAAATGTTCAGTTTTGTGCCTGGGAAATGCCTCTTATTGTTTGAGCACACAGGCTTATTAGGTGTGAGTAAATTTCTGTCCCAGGTAGTGCCGACCTCATAGAACTTAACAGAATAAGGAAAACAAATGTCCTACTCCTCACTTAGCTATAATATTATGATTGGATATTTTGAGGAGTTAGTAGTTGTATTATTTTTTGTTTGATTTTGGAACATGCTTCAATATCCACCCAATACGTGATTTGGTACCATTTTCCAATAAAATGGTAAATACTGTATGCTGTTGCTCTTTCTTCAAATTTGAATTGCCGACAAAATGTAGAAAAAAAAATTGGGACATTTGATGAACGTTGGTAGTATGACGAAGAAAAGTTGGTCAAATTTAAGCTTTCAACCTTAATCCTCCCCCCTTCCCTCCTGGAAAATGGTCTAGCCTTATTCCTGCTTGATTGTCAGTTATTGTTTGAGCACTGAAGCGCATTGAGTATTACACCTCAGCTAAGTTTGAGTCCCCAGGTGACGACACTACATGAGTAGGGAAAACCAGGTTTGACTGTAAGTGATATTGTGCTTGGCCCTTTTATCCAGCTCCTAGCTTATTTTACTGTGCGGTTAATTTTGAAAATTACATGCCATTTTTGATAATATGAAAACGTATGGAGGTACGATCTTGTTGTCTCCAAAAATTCAACTACTACCGGCATTATATCCAAGTAATAATAATAATAGGTTGTAAAAAGGTCTTATCTTGCGTTCCCTATCCTCCTCGTTTTTCATCCCTTTCCTAAGATCCCTACTTTTCGCTCCTTTTTTGCGTGTTATGGCTATAAAGAACTTCTAACTTATGATTTTTTTCCTGAGCAACCATTAATAGTTGATTGAGGCAACCGAGTATTCATTGCATTGGAAAAGAGTAGCCTAAAAATAATGATTATTACATTTTAGTTCAAAGGTTTTCACCCTTTACCAATGCTTGACTAATTACTGTGAAAAAATGTAACAGACTGAATCGGCAAATGATCTAAAAAATAGCCTATTTAATGCTCTTTTAAAAGTAATATAACATTTGTAGGTTCTTTCTGCTAAAAATTGAATAATTCCAAGTTTTGTCATTGAAGTCCTAATACTTGCGAAATACTACAAATAAAAAATAATTGCACCCGTCTTATGTATCCCAATCACTAAGGAATGAAATAACCTAAACATGTCATTGACTATCTCGCTCTCACATTCACAGTTCAGTTGGTAGCATTGTCACCACGAGGAGCTTTTAGCATACCATGCTAGTTTGCAATGAAAAGAATACTATTAATAGTAGCCCAGGAAAAAAATCATAGCTTAGAAGTTCTTTATAGCCATAACAGGCAAAAAATAAGCATTTCACTCTGGCGCGTTATTTTTGGAACACCCTGTATAAGCCAATGCATCATATGTAACATTATATAATATGAAGGTTTCAAATTGAATTGATATGATCTCGTATCTAATGGATATAGCGAACTTTTGTAATGATTGGTATTAAAAATTAACAATTTTTCTTAGTCTGAAATATCTGCTTTCTTATGGTTTATAAATGTGTACGAAATCCCTTATTCTATTGAATCATTACATAAAATGACATCTAAATGCTTTCATTTACAGTTATCCAATTATTAGTTGTCACCCTACAATATATGCAAAACTCTCTTTTGTGATCATTCCATATGGACAGAAGTGCTAGGTCTGGCAACGTTCTGTTCTATTAATAATCGACGGTGTAGAAATAAAACTGGCGTATCTAAACTGTAGGAGCAATAGCATTCGATTCATCGACTTATTGTTCATATAGAATGACAGATATTTATTTGATGTAGTTGATCAAACAAAATCAGGTGGTCTTGTATTCCCGATACAATGAGTCGAACTGCAACATTATTTGAACTTTAGCTTAATGATTTCAATTTCCAAGGAGGTTGAAAATCTCGGAAGGAATCAGAAAAAGTCGAAAACGGCGGAAATTGAACTCAAGGCCACCTTCATTTTAGACTGACGCTTTTGACGACAACTACAGGCCTATAGCTCTGCTTTCTGTTATAAGTAAAAGGTGACGAAGACGTGCATAAATCGGGAGTACCTCAAACGTTAAGGCTTGATGAGCGACAGGCACTATGGATTCCGGTACCAGCGATCCACCGGGGACTTCCTAGCTTACGTTACGCATCTGTGGAGTAAACTCATCCAGTCTTATGGTAATGCTCATCATACCGTTAGTCTTGATCAGATGTGGCACGCTGCCCTCTTATGCAAACTTCCATCCTATGGCCACACAGGGCATCTTTGCAGATGGGTGGCTTACTTCCTCACAATGTCAACGCGGGCATTCACCAGGGATCGCACTTGGTCCCGACATTGTACCTCTTAGATATCAACGACCTCCTTTCCTGTACGATTAATCCGATCCATAGCTTTGCTGATGACAGCACTCTACATGCAGGAATTTAGAGTGAGAAGCCGATCTCTGCTACTAGCAGCGACTTTTCATCTCTGACGAAAGATCTGGAGGTTATCACTGCTTGGGAATGCACAATACTTGTACAGTTTAATGCTTCCAAAACACAGTACTGTACCGTGACGAACAAAAAGCTTCCTAGTCCTCATCCGATTTCGATGGATGGACGAGTTCTGGCAAACAGCCATTCATTTCGGCTGGTCAGAGTCCAGATGACCGAGAACTTTATCTGGTCAATAGCAGCAGCTGCTGGGAAAAAGCTAGGTTATTTGTTTAGGGCTCAGAAGTACTTTTCTCAACATGACCTCCACATTATGGATTATTCTTCCCTAACGGGCAATCTCGGGCCCCTTTCACACCAACGGGCCGTAGCCGATCTAGCTCTCTTTTACCGCTACGTCAACCGGCTTTGCTCCTCAGAGCTCTCTTCCATGGTGCTTGCCAGACAGATCAGCCTTACTTCAATCTGCAGTCCTAACAATGTCGAGCTTCGTACATCCATAACTGGCCTATACAACCACTCCTTTGTTCTTAGGGTATCGAGATAATGGAACAATCTACCTGAGAAGGTTTTTTCCAGTTCTACTAACGTTAGGCAGTTCAAAAATGGGATTAACAAAGTTTCTTCAAGCTCCTCATATCATCCGCGGTACCCTGAAATTTAGGCTTCTGCCTGTGCGGCTGCTTCGTTATAAAAAAGTAGTAGAAGCATCACAGGATTACTTCACATAATTTTAGTACCCAAGTGAATTGCATTAAATACGAAAAAACATTTTTATAAATGTTTATTAAAACTGTTTTAAAACCAACATTATTATTACACAAAATTTACAAAAAAAAGTTAATAAGTTAATAAGAGAACAAAACAAATGCATTAAATAAAAAGAATCTATAAAATCAGTGCAAGTGAAAATTTACATAAAAAATACTATATACACGTATCATAAAATATATATTTTATATAACATTAAAGCAGACATCAAAATTTATCAAAAATAGATTAACACCTTCAAGTTCACCCTTACAAAATAAAGTAGTATAAGATACTCACAATATAACACTCTAGCTTATATACATTTAAATGTCAGCCCACTGGTAGAAAAGTATTCGATTTTTACGTTGTTTTAAAAAATGTAACGTTTATAATTTCAATTCATGTTATAGGTAAAACTCGTTTTAAACGATAAATCTATTTTATAGAACCTTTCTTAACAAAAAATAATGCCTCATGAACAAAAGTACAAAGAGGAAGCATGGATGAGGAAGACAATAATGCCGATAGCACCACGAAAATTAAATTATATTCAGATCAAAATATGGAAGTCGAATATGAAAAATGATTGTCTTCTAATGTTCTAAAAACACTATACAATTAAAAAAAACTTCGAAATAATGAATGAAAAAAAAATTGTTTATTTCTTTATTTCCTTTATTGATGACATATCCACGATTCAACTTGAATTCCCCGTTTTTTTTTTGCTTGAGTATTTTTCAGTTCAATTAAACATGTCTATTTAAATTAAATTTGACTCAAAGATGACTTATTTTTCACGAAACCCAAGCTATTTTTAAGGGTGAACGCACAGGTATACACAATCCTTAGAGCTAAAACCAGAGATACAGAAAATTAAAAGGAAAGCTACCCATGGTTAGAAGAAAAATTCTAGAAAGAGTAAATGCCCAGTTCGCGATGGCCTCTAATGAAATATTTACACTATTTTACAGTTTTGTAGTCTTCTGACTTTTTATCATGCTTTTATATCCGCTGACACCAAGTGGTCAAAAAGTACGTGTTTCAGAGAGTACGTTCCTCAAAACCAAATATAAAATCTGGTTATTTCAAGAATTCAAAATAAAGAATTTGAATATACCTATTCTATTTTAATATCCCCACCTAAATATTTCAAAAACTACGCATTCTAGAAAAAAAGTTTGAAATGAAAGTTGTTGTAACCTTGATTCGACCTTCAAGGTCATTTGAAGGTCAATGATCATCAAGATCAAGTCAAAATTTCAGGAAACTCACATTTTTATACTGGAAATGGAAGAAGCAGGAATATTGCTTTATTTGAGGTCAAGGTCATATTCGGGCGAAAATTTTGACTTGACCTTGAAGGTCAATGTCAAGGCACCTTTGAGAGATCCCCACAAAGCTCACAACTATGCTGCAAATTATTTGATGTCTTGAAGTGGCCTTGAAGGCAATGGTACAAGATGATGGTCGGACGTGAAATTTGCCCATCTTTTCAATTCCGATATAAACTTGAACTTAAAAAGACCTTGAAAGTCGTTGCCAAGGTCACCATCATTTTCGCCCTAAAAACCCTTCCCGACTGCAGAGTTTCCGAAATATTTAGGTGGTGATAGTATTATGGAACACCGTGTATAAGCCGTTATATTTCTACTGTTATATTTGTTGTCTAGTAGAGTTGAAAACTATCTATAACCAAAAAAAATGGCACCACTCTCTGGAATTCCGTTATGTCGCAATTGGTCGTTATTGCAGCTATTTTGAGGTAAGCTTATCTATATCTATAATTGAAATTTATTGGTAAAATCACTATTAGCTAAAAGTGGAAAGGAAGACTGGATGCATTACTGTGCTTCTCCAATACCGGTAACTTACCATATGCAATGATGATTTCTAAGCTTTATTTTCAAAATAATTTCCAAAATAACAAGGGTACTTTTCAAAGATTAGTCAACTTTGAAAGCTGGCTTTTTTGTTTCAAATGTTTTAAATGACGAGCAACGGGGTAAACGTTAAAATAATTCACACAAACTTTAAATAAGTTTTTTTGAAAGATAAGAGTATTAATTCGGACATTATAATTATTGCTACAGAATTTGGAAAACTGGAAAACGGCGCAAATAATTACATTATTTGTTATAAATGCTCATTAATAACTAATACTTTTTGAAGCAATCTCAATATAAATATATATTATTTCTGCTTCAAAAATAGGTTACTTGAATTCATTAGAAATGCGATTCTAGGGAACTGATTTAATTTTTTATCAAAGTTGCATATACAAATGTATAATTTACATTAGAATTTTTCCTAAAATATATTTACCATTAAATTTAATATTGCTTCCAAGTTTTAGAAGTACACATTGTGGACCAAAAAAATTCGCATATTTCATATGTTTGGGGAAAAGCTTCCTTGTTTCACAATTTGTACAGGATAATATGATTTCTGTCGGCGATTTCATAAGACACACTCTTAACGCTTTGTACTCATTTGGTTCAATGGATCGATTATATGTTAAGGTTAAATAAAATACACACTTCAAATAGGTATTGATTGTCTCTTTTTGCGAAAACTGAAAATTACTGTAAGGCTAGATTCCTGCAATCTAAAGTGGTTTAACTAATCTAGTCTAACACCGATAATACAAGAGCAGAGATAAACTAGTTACTATATGGTTTTAATCATAAGTAAGTTGAATAGGTGTGTAATGCTAGGATGAACAATGATTTTTTGTTTATTACGTGAAAAAATATTGGCACTTGAATCTCGCTATCTCAGTTAGGTCAAGCCAATGTTTTCTTTTATTAATAAGGAAACTGCTAGAATAGGCAAATTCTCAACAACAATTAGGTCTATATGTATTTAATGAGATCACAATTTTAAAAAAGGAGTTAGATAATCAAAAAATCAATGCTGCAGTATTTTGGATATGTTATAATTTTTTGCACCTCAACAATAACAAATTGTATATTTGACGAAGAAGTAGAATGATCTTCATTTATATATAACTTTTTTTCAGAAAGAAATCAGAAAAATGTCAGAAAAATAGCAATCTACAGCCCGATTCAGGGAACAGTGACAATATGTCTAGGGTACAAAGGAGATCCAAAAATAACAAGAAGACATGGGGCATTGTGGAGATACAGGGTGCCATCAAAGATGTAATTTTTAAATCGAAAAACAATATAGCTTCAGAATGGATTAAGTACTGACTTGATTTTTTTTAAGAGGTAGCAACCTTGTAACAATACACAAGTTTTCGTGTATAGTGCTACACCACTGCAATGGCAACACAACATGGATATTTTTTTCAGATTAATCCATTTGGAGAAATATTGGTTTGAATAATAGAGGTGAAATCCATATAAAAAATATAAATACGTTTTCTTTGAAAGCATAATGAAGTTAGTGAAGTTTCATATTGAAAATTGTATCCAGTATAATCCCATTACACCATAGTGTCGCTCGAACAATATTTTTGTTTTGTCCATATTCAGTCCCATCAGAGGCATATACATTTTAAGCTCCCATGTATCTACAACCTATGTTTATAGAAACATTGCGTTATTTTTAACACGCTTCTATTAGGTCATCTATCAACTTAATTTTCATAAATTTTTAAAAAACGAATTTTTAAATTTGGAACAAATGGATTTAAGAAGTTGGAAAATAATCGGGAAATTCGAAAAATAATTTGAAAAATATGGAAATTTTGGTAATTTGCAAAAATTTGGGTGTACGTTTAGATTTATTGTCAAATATGAAATACCAAAAATCGAAGCTCTTGATTTTTAGTAGGTTTGTCGTTTTGAGATTAGAACTTCAGAAAATAAATTAGTTAAAAAAAACTAAAAAAAAAAATCGAACTGAAATGTAGAAAATAATTTCCAAGTTTAGGGGAATTTGTTTTACTGCAATAGTTAAGTCCAACAATCAAGTATGAATAATTAACTTAGAATAAGATCAGTATAAAAATGGAGATTATAACAAAAAATACGATTATAGTAAACAAAACGATAACAATATTTTCATAATACCTCCAATTTCGTAAATAACACTTAAAAAATAATTCTAAGATTTAATATCAAGCTTCCCACTTTTTTTCACAATTGAATTTTTTGTTAGTCTTAATTTTTATATTGATCTTATTCCAAATTAATTAGTCATACTGGATTGTTGGACTTTCTTTTGCAGTAACAGAAACTCTCCCATACTTGAATATTATTTTCTACTTTTTAGTTCGATTTGCTATTAAATCGTGTTTTATGTTTTTTTCAAACCATCTTTAACCGCCTGTGTATTAACAGACTTTGAACCATCTTTTCAGTGTGATTTTTTTTCAAATAGGATTTACTCTCAGAACTAAAAGGCACTTTATTATATTCTTGTGAAGAAAATATGCGCCACCTGATGAACAGAGGTTATTTCCCTCCACCTAGTAGTAGGAGTACCTTTGTGACTTTTTGCTAACCTCGTAGTACCTCCCAATAAGGAATTGAACCTTCTCATTTCCGGGATAAGACCTTTGAAGATTTATTTTTTTTTATATTTGTTCCCCGGAAAACGTTTGCCCGTTATTTCATCTGATGTGACTACATCTATATAACAAGAATTGTGTTTAAAAATATTCATTCAAACCGAGACTTTCCATCAAAAACACCAAAATTACACTATCAGTGAAAACAAGTTTTATTTTTATTTTAATATTATTGTATTAACTGCCGTTCAGGTTGACTCGGCTGAACTAGTTTTAATTGACCTCATATGTACACTATACATATAGAAATAATGGGAATATTTTCAAGAGAAAATATTTCCATCAAGATATTTCAAAAATGGTATAAGCGCACTATAACGACAAAATTTAAGCTTGAATTTTTCAACATTTTCTAACGAATTACATTCAAAAGGCACTTTCCTCAAGTCCGACATATATAACACATCAAAAAAAGGTTTCATGGTCCAGTTGCTTTTTTCATATCACGTTCCGCAAGGTCCTCCTCAAACTTTAATCAATAATGGTGGTGCTCGAAAAAGGAATCACTGTCAAAATAAGTACCATTTTAGTTTAGGTCTAGCTGATTCGTAATATACGAAAATAATAGCTTTACTTTAGGCCTAAATGGCAGACACTCAATTATTTCTGATTTTCGCACGTCCTCAGGATATACCAGCGATGTTGCCCAATATCTTCGGTTTCATAATAATGTATACCTTAGCAGCAGTCTTTTAAGCATGAGAATCATCAATTGTCTTTATTCCTCCTGGTTCTATTCACATTTTTGTACATTAAGTTGGTCAAGAGTATGAGCTGGGCTCGCTGGAGACGCACCGCCTTAACACCGATGTGTCAATGTTCATTCGAGATGCCAACAGGTAGTTGTCGTCACCTATCGGCGCCGCACTGAAAAAAAAAACATGAAGGTTTGTTTGTTTGTCTATCGCACAACAGTATTTTTTCTATCATATGCACAGAGCATTAAGGCAGGTTTTTGTTTAAAACCCTTTATCGGGCAACTCCAGGGTGTTTTGTCACTTTTTTTTGGCCACGTAAGCGTAAGGTTACATGTACTTCAAAACCCTATTTCTCTAATTCCACGTATGCTATGCAGTTAAGAGCAACGCTACCGTATGGTCACAAATAAGCTTAAGAGAGGAAAATAACGTCATTTAGTGTGCGCGCCGATTTTACGTTTGACATCGATATGATTGCTCCTGAATAGGCGTGTGTGTGACTTTGTATTGCCAGTCAGTGCAAACTTATGTGAGATGGGATGAGATTTTACTAATTACAGTGTTGGAGTAAAAATACTTTTGGTAAGGTATTATATATAAATTTGAATAGATATGGATAGTTCGAGAATTATTCTGAGTTAAATAATGCGGAACCATATCGTCGCCTTTCTCACGAAGTGTCCTAACTGAAAAAATACCAAAAATTGAGATAACCCGCATATGGGTGTATTATCCAATGCCGGTTAATCTAACGAAGATGCATAAATATACATCTATTAGTAAAGGCACCACACCATTAACCCCTGGGTGTCTTATCTGCAAAGGTAAATAAATAATTCCCATGAAGAGACCTAAATGAAGACAGGTCTCTTAGTGTTCAATAATCCTTGTTAGTATACACACGTCGGAGGTCGAATCATGCCCACAGTGCAACTCATACTGCGATAAAGGGAGCTGGAGATCTTTTTGAACACTCACACACTATCCGGTTTTTCGATTGGCCAGAAGACGTCAACCTTATTCAGTAATCGTAATGAATTTTTTGACTTCAAGGAACATTCAAAAAATGTAAGTGTTGTCCGCACGACAAACTTATGAAGCGCACAATATTCAATGGAGTTGAGGGTAAGAAAAGACATGCCCACTAAAATATTTTTCAAGTCTAGCCACCACGATACCTGTTATGACAGTATTGAGCTAAAAAAATGCTGAAAAATAGTAATAATATAACTGATATTAAGCTAGAACAAATTAATAATGAACAAGTAAAAATAACAAAATAGTACTCCGACTTAATTTCGTTATGTGAAAATCCAACACCCGTTGTACGCTTACCAGAACTCCAAAACTTTTTTAGAAATTTGCCCCATCAAATGGAATCAATTATTAACAATTTTGCCTTTGTTTTTTTGTGTATCATAATACATCAACATTAGCTGGTAATATGTGTATGTCAAAAGATAATGATTAAGTTAGTTGCTTTCCTTTTTTTGCTTTTATTTCAATAAAAATTGCTTTAACGTTTCGAGTTGTTTTCTCAATCTCATCACCTAACATTTGTGTCATAATCTATATCAATTTCAGGCATGGACATTCAGGGAAATTTTGTAGGGCGTAGCCAAAATTCAATTGTCTATCTGAACTTTATAAATCGCCCCCTTGGCTGGAAATATGATTCTTTGCTCATGAGTAAATAAAATAAATTCAGTATATCTTAAACTAGTACAGGGTGGGGCAAAAGTCGCGAAGGGATTTGAAAAATTAATAACTTTTTTAAATTTTAATTTTAATTTTTTTCCCTAACACAAAACTAAAATGCAATGTTTGGAGTTTGTTTACAATTTAAGTGTGAAAGATTACATCACGCAAATGACCGCCATTTTCAGCCTCGCAAAGTGCAGCTCTTGCAAGAGCATTTTCCATTACCCGAGTCAGAATATCTGGCCCCAAAGCACTTACTTCTGCTCGAATATTATCTTTTAGTTGCTGCAGGGTTGTGGGTTTATTAATATACACTTTTCCTTTCAGATATCCCCAAAGTAAATAATCAGGGGCTGTTAAGTCCGGCGAGCGGGCGGGCCAATTGAATCCTGAATTTCTCGAAATTAAACGTTCGCCAAAAATCTGCCTTAGAAGGTGCATAGTGGCTCGAGCAGTATGCGCAATGGCTCCATCTTGTTGGAAAGTCATCGTTTGATTGTCAGCAAGAGCTGGTCTTAAGAAATTTTGAATCATATCACGATATCGGTCGCCATCTACAGATACAGCATTCCCATCGTGGTCTTCGAAGAAGAATGGTCCAATAATTCGTTGAGACGTAACTGCGCACCATACTGTACATTTAAGCGGATGTAATTGCCTTTGATGAACCACCCTTGGGTTCTCGGTACCCCATATTCTGCAGTTCTGCTTATTTACGAAGCCATTCAAATGAAAATGGGCTTCATCGCTCATGATCAGAGAATGAATAAATTCATTATCTTCTCGAGCCATTCTTTGCAAGCGAACTGCATAAGTTAGTCGTTCTTGAAAATCTGCTGGTTTTAGTTCTTGCACTAGCTGCACTTTATATGGAAACAGATGTAAATTTCCTCTTAATATTCTGCGTAAAGACCTTTGAGACATCTGCAGCTCAGCAGAACGTCTTCGGGTTGAGGTTTCCGGATTCTCCTGAACACTCTCCTGAACGCGTTGAATGTTCCCTTCATTTCTTGCGGAACGTGGCCTTCCGCTTCGTGGGAGATCCATAACTGTGCCTTGTTGCTGAAATCGTGCCACTAAGCGTCGAATCATTGATTCAGAGGGCGAATTCCGTAAATTGAAATGACGACGATATGCTCGTTGAGTTTGAATTATTGAATGGTGATATTCAAAATAAAATTCTATAAGTTTGGTTCGTTGATTGAGGTTGTAACGCTCCATAATTAATCTCCAGGATTTATTTTACACGGTCCTGAAAAAAAAAATGAAAACAAAATAAATTTAAAAAAGTTATTAATTTTTCAAATCCCTTCGTGACTTTTGCCCCACAATGTATAATAACAAAAACTTCAATAAAAATATATTTTAGATCTATCTGACAAAAATCTTCTGAAAATTCTAACGAAGTGATCTCCGTGTGTTTTCCAATTTTTTCCGAAATAACTTTACAAGCTACCGCAAATATTGAAGCAGCATATGTTTGAAAATGAGTATGGGCTGATACACTGAAATTTTCAATTCGAATATATCTAAATTCTACTTACAATGCTCAAACAACAACCCGATCTCGTTTTCTTGCTCTCCTGTAAAAGTTACTAAACGTTGGTTAGGACACTTCGTGAGAAAGCCAACGATATGGTTACACCGCCCCCAGTAATGCGTAATTTTCTTTACAGATTCTCGCCAATTTATGACAAATAGATCAGAATTTCGATTAAATTCCTTCTTGTCCGTTTTATGGTAAGTTATCACCATTACCACAAGTTTCCGATGATTCTGATACTTCAGATGAAGAAGAAAATTTGATATTGAGGAATCTCAGAAATAAAGTAATGCAGACCAGGCAACCAAACTTAGCTTGCAATGACACGGCAAAAGAACAAGAAGTATACTATATTGATTCTCATTTTCAAAGAGATGTTTTTAAACTTCAACCTGAGCCAGCTCTAAAAATAAAAAATAAAAATCAACATATGAATTTTAGCTGGATCAAAAAAGACTTACCAAAAGTTGATCAATATTGCAATTTTATCCCTAGTACTAACGAGCAGCTATTGCTTCCAATTGAGTATTGTACAAAATTCTTTAGTTTCGATATAATGTATCACATAATAGATCATACCAATCTATACAGTACTCAAATGACCGGAACATGTATTGGTACAAATGCTAATGAGATGACCGATTTTATTTCCTTGAAGTTGCTCATGGCAATCATTCATCTTCCTTTTTATGAAGATTACTGCGAGAATTGAACAAATAACACTAGTAATGTCATCAAATTGTTTTAGAACTCTTAGACGCTATATTCATTCCAACAATAATGAAGATATTAATGAAAATACCACAGATAGATATTGCAAAATACGACCCCGGATGGAAAAATTAAGAGAACTTCCGAAGATTCTATACTGAAAACCAATATTCCTTAGGCGAGACAATCATACAAGGGAACCCGAACAGGAAACCTTCGACAATATGTGAAGAATAAGCCACACAAATGGGGCTACAAGTTTTTTGTAAGAGCTGGCGTTTCATGATATTGTAGCGTTTTCCTGGGTTCTTTTCGGTGTGAATTAAAACAGTCGATTCCGCAAAAAGAAATACACTAATTTATTTAAAACACAACACAACTAACTTTGACTTAACTAGCTAGAACATTTATGTATACCACTATTTATGTCTGACTATTTATTTACGAATTATGTCGCGTCATTCACTCAACTCTGCTTCTCCCTCCCGGCCGTCGACTTATATATTTCGCATCGCCGGTGCTCGTTGATTAGAGAAAGTTCCGGTACGGCACATAGTGGCATAGGAGAGTCCCTGGAGCGGTTCCGAACAGATGTCGCTAGTAGTATTACTCAGTCTTGTTACAATATATTTTGGATTTTATTGCTATCAGGGTGCAAAAACTTTTTAGCAACTTGCTGGAGCCCAAAACCAGCTTAGCCAGATGGAATGTGACATACGTGTTGGAGCTGGAGTGGTTATAGCTCTGGCAAAATCGTCACATGATATGAGTAAGTCAGCTCTTTTTTTTAGTAAAACTTGTTTGTGGCGTTTTTTTTTTGTATGCAGATAAACTTTTCTAAGTGAAAGAGCTGTTAGCAAGTACAAAATGAATCTGTAGCGTACAAAAAACCAAAACAAAATACAGCTCTGACTACCTGACTTTGACGGATCCGTCAGAATTATGTGTCCTGTCCTGACCGATATGGGGAATTATGAGATATTACTAGACAATCAGCTACCATGATGGATCCGCAAAGGACAGTGTGGTTAGAATGACTTTGACGTGATAAATGACAGTTAGAAGTTGACTGTTATAGTTTCACGTGCATACGTTCCGGAACGTCTTTGTGCTATAAAGGTTAGGTCTTCGTAATGATTCAAGTATGTATATAAAAAAATTCCATGTGAGGTAGAGTACGAAACATCAGTTTCTTGAAATTAGAGGAAATTGAACATCTGTCCAACTAGAATGAATTTAATGAAATTGTCACCACTTACAGACTGCCGTATTTGGTATTTCTATCCAGGTTCCTTTTATACAGTCGATGCTTGTGTTCTATCTGGAAAGCGACTTCCCTCAGTTGTTTAAGAATGTTACAAATCATCTCTTCCCGTTGACTCAGATTTATATACGTTTCCAAGGTGTTGATATGCATGATTATGAGAGAGTGTATCCTTTGCAAGTCCCTTTCAGGATCCAGCGACATGTGGTAGTTATTGTCCAACCGCGACACTTCACTGCAACCTGGTGCTAATTCGTTTGGAGACTTACAGCTGAAAAAAAAACATATTTTATATCGTACAATTCTATGTACACTAGTGCAAAATATTTGGCGCGAAACAACCTTTATGCCTTCTTGAATTTTCTATAAGAGACAAATGACACTTTTGCTACTTATAATTCTCCATGCCGCTAAATGAAACTAGATACGTTTGAAATACTGTTTAGTGATATGTCGTTTCGGCCACCACGGTGGCCTTCTTACAAGTTTTTGTTCAACTTGACCTGTTTGTTACTATACAGAGAAATCCAAATATCACTGACGATGTAACGCGTACGAGAGGAATAGCACGAGAAGCGCGCAATACGTATATTAGAAAGTGTGCGCCGATGGAAGGGCGGCAAACTGCAGCTGCGTCCGTGGCCTCGTCACTCAGGATGCTAGGCAACGTGGTGATTCTGTCTCTTTCTAACATACGTAATGCACGCTTCTCTCTGGTACACATTGAACTCAAGCCGTCTCAGTGAATATAGGATTTCACACTGTGTTTGATGGCTCCAATTTTTTCGCTGTTTCAATTAGCGTTAGATCTACGAAATCATTGTGAATTGTACATGTTCTAAAAAATAAACATCAGATAGGTAGTTAGTCCGACTCTATTGATTTGAACATGCCATATCAAAGCATGCACAGATAAATCGGCGTCCTGGCAAAGATAGACAGAGACAGGTCTAGAGACGGATATACAAACAAAATGACGTACGAGAGACACTAGAAAAAAATCTACCTAGCCATGAAAAAAATGAATGAAATGCACAAGCTAATACAGGGTGGGTGATATGTAACTGACTGGTTTGTATCTTGAATATTTGTGAAATGAAATATAATATGTCCATTGTTTTTATCTTATTACTTTATTGAAACTATGAAATTATGAAAGAAAAATAATATCAGTCAAATGAATGTCCGCCTCTAAAAGCCGTGCAAACCTGAGCCCTCTTGATAAACATTTTGGTAGGTTACGGGAGGAATATTTTCAATCGCTTCCGTAATATTATTCTTCAGCTGCTCTACAGTATTTGGTTTTTTAGCGCTCGTTAGTGACAGTGATCTGCAGCGTCTTCAAAGAAGTAAGGTCCAATGACACCTCCATACCAAACACCTCACCAAACTGTGACTCAACGGGGATGTAGTGGTCGTTGATGGATGACACTCTAATGCCCAGATACGACAATTCTGCTTATTAACAAATCCGTTTATATCGAAATGGGCTTCATCGCTCATTATCAGTTGTCGGTTAAAATCGTTATTTTGGGTATTAAGCTGCAATATTGCATGACGGCTGTAGTCCCTGGGTTAACTGAATTTTATGTGGCCGCAAATGCAAGTCTTTTTTTTAAATAGTGCATAATGATGTGCGACAAATACCCAGTTCTTGAGAACGATGTCTGGTAGACGTCTCAGGGCGCTCCATTACACTTTCACGCAATTTAAATCAGTCATTTATATATTGGCCAGCCTCTATTTGCAAATAATGACATGTGTTATAACGTTTCTTGCAAAATTTGAGTTAATTTTATGTTTTAGTTTCCAATTTATGAAGTGAAATGTGAGGCAAAATGAGTAACTTAAAGTAGGTGAATTCTTTAATTCGCCGGTTGATTCCACCACTTATGGATGCGGTGCTTATGGTTGGCACTGTTGACAGCTTTGTATGGTGACGGCAGCAACCGGTTGAATTAAAAGGACGGATGTCTGGTCCACCGGTGGCACCGGTTGCTCAACCGGTGAATTAAAAAATACACCAAGTAAGAGTATCACAGTCTCATAAAATTTCTGACAAAAGAGGGCCATCATCTTTCTTATAGTCCGGACTTTGCTCCTTCTGACTTTTATCTCTTTAGATTACTAAAAAAACCTAGGACGCCATTTTGACTCAGATGATGGGCGTACAGCAGCCGTCGACAACTCTTTTGAGAGTCAAAAGAACATATTTTTTATAAGGGTATGAGTTCACTGGAGGAAAATGGCACAAGTGCATTGATGTAGGAGGGATTATATTAAAAAATAAAATTATTTTGTTTCATGGCTAGGTACAACAGTGTTACCAGATCTACCGCTAAAACGGTATTTCTACCGCTTTAGAGATCCATCTACCGCTATCCAGTTTTACCTCTGTAATATACCGCTTTACCATTCTCGGTGCGTAAATACATAATTTACTACCGCCATCTCACGGTAACCACCTGGTCAGGGAATTCCTTGACCCCGGGAGAGGGTATTTACGGAAATAAATCGCTGCCATTTTTATGTGCGTCGACGTACAATGTGTGATTTATTTATTGTTGTGCAATATGCATTGGTGGCACGTGTATTCCGGAATTTCCATCAATATTTTTTAATACTGGGCTTATTTTTTGGTTGAAGGTGAGTTTCTAAGCCTACAGGTATGATTTTTTTTTAATAAATATGCTACTGAAATAAAAATATGAATTATTACGAATATTCTGAGAGAACAAATATTTTATTGAAATAATAAGTCAAATTTTGTAATAGTAGGTAAGATGGAAAATTCGAGTGCCCTTATGACTTATGCTGAAAACCACCCAAAGGAATCGCTTAAGTACAATTATAGGGATATTACACAGTCACAGACTAGTAGTTGTTTCGAATTTACGGGAAACAATGAATTGAGGAGGTTAATGACCAAAGATATTTATTACAATTAGCTAATCAATATTTGTAATGGTTATTTTTAATAACTTAGTTTAGTTATTGTCAATGTCAAGAATGCCTATTTTTTGAGTTTTACTTGTTAGTTCTTGTTTAGAACATATAATAAATCAAGTTCTATGTAGAGTTCTGGCATAATTATTACACCCTAACAAAAAAATGCATTAATTTATTGTGCGACTAGCAATTTCCTTCATATACCGCTTTCTACTGCTCTTTTTTAGTTTTACCGCTTTATGAAAAATTCATGGCAAACACTGAGGTAGATATCTTTACTACTTTACTAGTATCCCTCATAGTAATGTATTGTTGAACTCACCACAACCACTGATTATTGATGAACGCCGACGGATGATACTTGTTCAACCTATTGGCGTTCGTCTGGCATATCTTCGTCAATAGGTCTACCCACTCCTTCTCTTCCACACAGTTGGCAGCTTGGACGTACAGCGCTCTCTCGGGTTGTACGATCTGGAACATGTTTTTCATCTTGAAAGACGTTTCGGCGAGTCTTTCCACCGCCAGGATGTTCGTAAGGGGTATCCTGCATAGAGCTTCCTTTCCTAGAATGAAGGTCAAGCGAGATGAGAATAACAGGAGTTTTTATTATAATGAAGAAAACGAAGAATCTTAAAATAAATGAATGAATGGTATAATCATGCCCCAGGAAGTTCAAAAATGCGTGGAAACGAAGTTTAGAATATTCAGTATAAACCAATATTTTGTTATACCGTAAAATGAATAAAAACCCTAAAATCGTGAAACTACAGAGTTTGTAGGAATTTTGATAATAACAGTTTTTTTTATAATAATAACAAAAAAAATGGATATGAAGAAGTAACTGCTACAGAAGTTGTATAATATCTTGTTGAGAAAACTGCAAAGGATTTTGGATGAATAAAAAGGTTAACTTACCTCTGTTCTTAGAATAACTGAGATCATGTGTTGTGAGTTTAAAGTATCTTTGTTTGAAATTCTTCCTCCCAAACCTCTTCCTTCCTTGTGCCCTTTTAATCATCAGTCTATAAAATAAAACGTTCGGGTTAGAAACATTGTTTTTTTTATGTATTGTGTTACAAAAATATACGAATAATTGTCAATGTCGATGATTTCAAGACAAAAAAATAAAATTTTTAAATAAGACGGTAAGACTTAAGAAGCTGAGTTTTTGGTTGCTCGGATCTTTCCCTTTTGCTTGATTTTATTTATCATCTTTATAGCTTCGATAAAGCACAGGAGGCTGACGGATGATGCTTTTAAGGCCATGCTGCCTAGATAACTGGAAACCATATCAAATACCCCGTCGATTAGTCAATTACGCAATATAAATTTATATTTATATTATACATTTGAATTTCAAGCAGACATTTCTCTTTTGCTACTAAACTTTTTTTGAATCCCAATGACTTATTTGAACCAATTCCGGTGTATTCGACATGATTGCCGGTTATCAATGCAGCCTGGCCTTAAAATCTTAAAAGTGTTTAGTACATACCTGTTTATGCTCCTATAGAGCAGCATGAATAAAGACAACCGATCAGTAGTATGAAGTATATATAGTTTCAGTTATACAACTATTTTTAGACTCTGACCTTTACAAACCGTTCAAAGAAATGCTGGAAGGTACAGACGTAGAGTCGTATTATGTGTTTATAGCCCTTTCCTTTGACTAACATCTAAAAGATGTTCAGCGGACCTGCTTGTGCTACTAGGGAATTAGATGAACAATAATGGCTTCTAAGACTATAACGTAGATAACGGAGAACGCAATAACAAGCTGAGGTCATCCGCAAAGATTACAGCAGGCTCTTAACATTGTTAACTTACCCCTCCTTCAAAGTGACAGGCATGTCATCCGCTTCCCTGCGACACGCCGACGTGTTCGCAGAGATGATCTCCAGGAACTGTCTGACAGCCGTGACGTGCGCCTCCGTGTAGAACTCCTTGTAGAGGCACTCCATGTACTCCTCTTTGCACACCTGTTGCGTCGATCGACAACTCACCAGATTTCCCAACGATTGAATCGTCTTAGAGATCAGGGTTAGAGTTCGGTTCGTTTGACAATCCTTAAAAAATACACATTTGTAAAATCGTGAACACATTCAATTACCTCTTACTTCCTACGCCACTGACGTGGAAGTATTGTAATCGCGAACAATTTCGAAAATAAAATATGTTGTTTGGATGTTATATAACATGTACATCACGAAAAACCATGCCACTCATTTCCGTTGGCCTGTCTATCTATTTGTCTGTCCGCTAATCCATGACCCCTCTATAACTTGGAAAGTACCAAACGGATTTTGATGAAATTTTCACACAAGGTGTTACTACTATGCCAAGTACGAAAAAACTTTAAACTAGTTTTTGAAAATCGAATCCGTGAAGGCGGAGCTAAGAGCAGAAAATTAAAACAATAAAAATCGCATAAACCTCGTTTTTTGATGTTTCAGAGGATACTGATCTTATTTGAAAAAGTTTTAAGGGATGAAAAATTGGGTAGTGGGAGGTTGCTCGAGGATTTGAGGAGGTACATATCAAATTTTTAACAGTGGTATATTATATGCTTATACGCCTCCAACAGTCGTAATTCTAGGCACCTTTTAGATATGTTCGCTCATTATTACGCCATATAGCATATGTATCCTTAAATCAATGGCGGAGAAGTATTTCCGACCCTCGCAAGTCGATCATTCGCTTCCCGGTCCTGCCAATACCTGTGTGTAGCAGTCGGCCTCCGCTGCTCGACTGTATATGAACCGATCGTCATCCACACCTGTAGGTTCGATCATATGCTGCCGCAAGAATTTTTCTCATGGGAAGTTAGGGGCCGTCCGTCGACAAGAGATAACTTTTGTGTGAAAGCACAACTCCGTCCAAAACTTTTTGAAGAGCGAGATGGAGCATATTTTCTCAGGTAGCCAAATTCTAAGAGCCCCAAAATTGTACAAAAAAACATGGGAAATATACAAATTTTATGGGTCTGTTTGACTAACTTGACCCGTTCAACTTTTTTGTTGTACATGTTCGTACCTAACTTTTTTTAGAGTGGCCAATTTGTGCCAAACACAATACTTTATGAACCGATGACAGCTTTGCATAGAAAATACAGAGTCATACTTTACATATTTTTAATCGTGTCCCATTTTAATGTCCCCACCTAAATATTTCGAAAACTGTGCATTCTGGACAAAAGATTCAAACGAAGTTGTAGGGTTTAGAGGGGGGAAAATGATGTGACCTTAGCAATGATTTAGATTACTTACAAGCGCATTGATGTAGGTCAATCGAGTCTTGTTTCATGGTTAGGTAGAAATCTTTTTTACTACCTCTCGTATGTGTTTACACATTGGAGATGACACTGCCAAGATATAGCTGAGATATGCTGATATATCAGAGATATACATATAGCCGGGCCATAAATACTACCCATTTGAAGGCTTCATAAGTTTTTTGCACTTCATTCCATGTCCATGAGATTTTTAGAAGCTACATGTGGACGATCTCAAATCAATACCTCGTAAGTCCGAAAATGTCGATATTCTGTTTTGTTCTGTTTTTATTCCTGTATGCTTGCAGGAATGCTCTCAGAAAATCCATATAGATGGTTATTATTCGGGAAGCATTGACGATCAATACCTCGTAAGTCCGAAAATGTCGATTTATGCATACAGGAATCAAAACAGAACAAAATCAGAAAATCGACATTTTTCGGACGAGGTATTGATTTGAGATCGTCGATTTATGAAAAATGATTCTTACCCCCGACTGCGTCGTGAGGTCGAACAGCTTCGGTCCCAATATAGCTGGTGCAAAGAACCTGAGGAAGATGAACCCAGATATGACCGAGTACCGCACTCCTTTATTCTCTGGAAAATGCTTCATGGCACACTCCTTCAAGTTGTGGAAGATCTGGCACATCAAGGCCGGGCAATACACAGCGCTCTGTGTAATGGCCTCAAATATCCTCTGGATGTAGAATTTGAGATTGGCCAGATTGGCCGCAATGACGTTAGCATCTCGAACACGCGTAGGGTCGATTTCGCAGGGCTTGCGCTCAGCAAAAATCAGCTCCAAGGTGGGTCGCAGGGTCTTGTGCAGGTACTGTAGGCCGATCAGTCTCATCGCTTCGTCCATCATTTTAGATACTAAAGTGTTTCCGCGAAATATCGTCGTTGGATCACTGAAAAAACCAACAGTCGCTTATTTTTTAACAATCATCAGACAAAAATATGTTGTGTTACTCGCTGACGTGATGTAAATGTGATGTTTTAGAGATGAGCTGACTGATAAAGCAGCAAAAAGTCCCGCTAGATACCTGTAGATACAGCTTTAATAATTTTTAACAATGGAAAGGTGACGGGGAGTGCTCGAATACTTTTTGGAGCCGGAGGCCTCAAGCAAAACGTTTACACAGGTATAGTTAGCAAGATATACAAAAAAACTAGTTACTAATGTTACTGCGTTGTAATCTTAGTAACTATGACTCAGACTATGAGATATTTGGACGAGAGAAACACATTTCTTAAAGACTCTTGTTAAATATTAATACAATATGTAGTACTTACGTTACATTTGATATTTCTACATTGGCTAATGCTCCAATTATTGGTACGATTTTATCGTAATGCATAAATATCCTAACCAATGGCTGTGCGATATCCATCTTATTTATTATTTCACCTAATATATATACTGAAGTAGCTTTGATAGGCTGAAACAAAAAACGTCTCATGAAAAACGGATGTTTAACAATAACAAAATATTTTCATAAGATGTTTAACCCTTTGCAACCTACTGGTCTTCGGAAATGATGACCATTTCAAAGTGCACTTACTTGCATACTGATGGAACTGTGACTCTGTCAGAATAGTTATTATTTATTAGTTGCCTACTATTTGGGCTTTTTATTTGCCAGTGAATGGTAGCCAACAAAATGGCTCAGATGGTGGAAACACCAGGTTACATGTACTTTATATCAAAGTTCTGCTTGCGGATGTGGATAATGGTCAAATATACCCTTTTTAGCAATTTACAATTGTTATTGCAATAGTTATAAACATTTATTAAATATTACTAAGAAGTCTCGTATTTAGCTTAATTGTATATGGATTTTAATTCTTAAAAAACACAATTACAGTCTAAAACCTCAAGTTTACCGATTATATATAAAATTTAATTTAAAAATTATACAAGAAAAATACTGAATTTTGGGCTGCTGCCATTGTTTATAAAAAAAACAACGCATATATGGCTGAATCTTTTTATGTACTTGTCATTAGAATGACATTTAAAACTTTCAGATATCTGCTAAACTTTTTTTCACCTTTTTTTATCTAGCCTGGACTGATAATCGCTGTTACGAATGCAGTCATCCGGAAAAACGACAGGTTACTGTTCTTTCACGGTAGTACCGTGGTAAGCGGCAATGGCGCAACTAGAAAGCGATTGGAGATTCCTTACCAATTCGGTTTGTTTCACTTGAACGCTGCCAGATGGGGCATCAAGCAGCTTGAAAGAACAAAGAAACAGTGGCGTGGGTGGGATTAAATTTGCCTCTAACAGTCGATCCTGAAAGTTGGTCGGCAGCTGGTGCTGTAGACTAATTTGGTTAGGTCGGCTCCACGGAATGGAGGAGATTCGGGTTCGAATCCCGCCAGCGCCCAATTTTCTTTTCTCTCAAGTTGTTGTTTACTAAGCATACTCGCTATTGTGGATGCGCCCATCCGAAAAATCGTATACAATAAATGAACTACGCTACACAAAGCATTAGTATAACATACACAAAATTTTACATGTATGAACTTGTTATTAAGAGCGGGGAGTTTGCTATAGACAACTTACTACTACTACTATATCATGTATATATTCACAAGCACAAATTCAATATATCTGTTATATACAGGGTGACAGGTAAATAGGTGTAAAACATTTTAGGAGGTGATAGTACAGCTCCTTTGCTATCAAAACTAGTATATAATACCATACCCTATATTCAAAGGTTAAAAAGTTATGACAGATTTAATTTTTTTTAAAAACAACCCAGATTACAGAGTAAAATAGTTGAGATAAAAAAAAGTTGGTGATTAAACATTCTTTTTTTGGTGGTTTCAGGTTATTATTTAAATAAATAATTCTCATAAATTAAAAAACATATGAAAACACTACTGAAAACGTATTTATTTTCATTTAAATGTTAAATGAAAATTTTTATTTTCAACTTTCACATTAAGAAGTCTTTTTTTTCAAAAAAATCACAATAAAGAAAATGTACAAATAACTGCAAAAATTTCCTCGTTTCATTAGGTTTCTAAAATGGTATATTAACATATCAGTAAGTAAACCATTTAACAAAACAATATTACTTTGCTAGAAAGGACCGCTAAGCGCATTTCATTGTACTGAGCAGGTAAACCGAGCCTTTCATGGTTCGACCCTTTTTGTTACTTTTTGTGCCCTGTGCCGTTATTCGGGTTTAAGTATTCGGAATCTGTCGTCGGAAGCAAGCTCTGCCTGTGTTATGAATTGACACAGCTGACGGATCAAGGAAAGGGAACTAACGCTTAGGTTAGTTAGTAGAATATCAACCTTTAACGCGGTAGGACGTACTTTTAGTTTTTTGATCAGTTTTAATAATGGCGAGTTACCGTAACGAATAATACGCTGATATTCTGTTTTGTTATGGTTTAAGTGATGGAAATTCCGTTGAAGCCAGGCGAGAATACCAAAACCGTTTTCCGAATCGGCGAATACCGAATCATCCAGTATTTGCTTCTTTGTACCAACGCGTCAAGGAAAGTGGGCAGGTTTATGAGAGACGTCATGATGCTGGTAGACCTCGGTTGTTTGACGACGAAGATCGAGAGGCAATACTGGAATGCTACGGCAGAGACCCCACGACGTCTACACGAGTTATAGCAAAGCAGCTTGGTTTAACTCAGTGGAAAGTTTGGTTCGTTTTGCATTCGGCGAGACTTTACCCTTTCCATTACACACCGGTTCAAGTATTAGAAGAAGGAGATCCCGCAAGAAGAATTGATTTTTGTCGATACATGCTTCATCGGGATCAAGAAGAAAACGACTATTTAACTAAAATATTGTGGACCGACGAGTCTAAGTTTGACAGAGAGGGGACAACAAATTATCACAACTTACATTATTCGGCCCCACGAGAGGCAAATTCCCACATGGCAAAGCCAAGAGCCCATCAAAGAAGATTTTCGGCAAACGTGTGGATGGGAATCATTCATACGTATCTGATTGGACCAGTTTTTTTGCCTGGCAACCTGAATGGCGAATCCTATGAAAACTTTTTGAGATCCGAACTCTGGGAGTATCTCGAAGACCTGCCTCTGAGTATATAAGAAACGGCGGGCATCAGTTCGAACAACAATTGCAATGAATTTTACCTTCATTTCATTATTGTGTTTTACTTACCAATTGTAGTAACTTTTAGTCAGTTTTTATTATTCTGTAGTACAATTACAACTGTGTAAATAATCTAATCGTGTAACTTAACCGTAGTTTAAAATAATAACTATCCCATAGCTTACAGTTAAATTATTTTCACAAAAACACTTTCTTATCAATCAGAGAGTTGTGAAAATAGGAGACAAGCCATTGGTAAATTTACTCCCTATTGTTGTATTACAATACATTATGTTTAGTTTTACACAGTTTGTGTGCACTTATCATACCAATTTAGATTCCTTATGAAACAAGGATATTATTTAAATTGTTTGTACGTTTTTTTGTATACTGATTTTTTTGTAAAACATCTTACTTACTGTAAAACGTTATTTGTTTTTCTTACTTAAACATTTTTGAATGAAAATAAATACGTTGTTTGGTATTGTTTTCGAATCTTTTTTAATTTATAATAGTTAATTATTGAAATAATAACCCAAAACCACAAAAAACAAATGTTTAATCGCCAACTTTTTTCTCTCTCGACTTTTTTACTCTGAAATTGTTTTTAAGAAAATCTTAAATCTTCAATAACTTTTCAACCTTTGAATATAGGGTATGGTATTATACTTCGAAGTTGAGTCATTTATTTTAACAGTGAGTAGATCTGATCAAAAGAAATGTTTTTTTCCTTTAACATTTTTCTGGTAAAATTAAAGTAACAAAGTTATAGCCCTTTAGAAGTTTGAGTACCGCCCTGTCTCAATAATAATATTATGTGCTCGTGTTTGGCAACAACGGATATAATCCGCGTTATCGGTTCATCGCATCGGAAACAAAAAAGCGAAAGAATTTGAAACGTTTATCACGATGTTTTTCGTCAGTCGGTAACGCGTGAGTGAATAGTGGTGTTTGTTGCATGGCTCAAACGAAATAAAAAATAGCACATGTTTACGAAAATGCTGAACTTGTGGACATGATTCTTATTTATTCTTTACAAAATGCTGCCGCGGCATCACGGATTTGTGCGAATCGGTTTCCCAATCGAGTGCAACCAACCCCTCGTGCCTTTGTTAATATAGTACAAAGGGCTCGTGAATCAGGAGACTTAAGACCTTACAGGGGAGGGCCTGCCGGTGCTCCAAGACCGCACGATCAAATACAGGTCCGCACTGAAATACTTATCGGGAGGATACTTTATAAAACAAGGTAACATTTTTTTTTAATGTTTTTTTATTTTTACACACATATTTTGGTTTATCTTCCTTGTATACTAATTTCGATAGCAAAGGGGCTGTACTATCACCTCCTAAAATGTTTTACACCTATTTACCTGTCACCCTGTAGAATAAACAATGTTAGATTGTACGTATAAATTTGGACATAAAGGGTTAACTTGTGCGAGTCGTACTGTATGAGGAAGTATATCACAGAAAGTTGTTCCTCACCTGTACATGTATACTTTCAAGTAACAAATTTTTGAGATCATCATATACTGAGGCAGGAAACACCCTGTCCTCCGTGTACTGTATCTGGAGACGTAGCGACCCTAATGAGTTATCTCCAGATAATCGGGTGCCAGGAGGAGTCGAATGTGTTGGATATGGACGGTTTTTTCCGGACCTTGGCTGTAGGTAGTACCTTAAAATAGGATTGAGTAATTGACAAAGGAAATCACAGGCAGAGGAGATTTAAAATCATCAAGTTCTAGTAAATTGCCATAACTTCACAACTACTGTATGTCAACACATTGTATTATTTTCTCACAGTACCATTGATAATTACTACAAACTCTTGTTAAACATAATGAAAAATGAATTATCTTTTGTAGCAGAATGAAACCTGAAACAGGTCACTCTCAAAACAATGAATTTATACACACACTTGAAAGTAATGCATTTCAAGAATACAAATTGACTCCTATTGTTTTCACATTTCCTTTCTAATTACATATTCCGTGAAGAAAAATTATGGGTTTTCTTTTAGTACATAATAATTATGATCATTAGTTTCATAATTAAACATATTTATGAGGGCAAGGCGTTATCAGAAATAATTTCAAGAGCCGAAATTAAGAAAAAATGTCCACTCTTGGATTCCTAGATTCCTGGAAACATATTCATTCGTAATTATGAAGGCCATTTCTTTGAATTTTTTCGAATGCCAGCGTGTTTCTTGGTGTAAGATCTTAGTGTGATTCCAAAGTATTCTGTGAAATCTTATTCAAATATGATCTGCTATCCCAGATTTATGATTTTCTAGCTGTTCAGTGTTGAATGTATGCTCTTTTATTCTTACTGAGAGTGATCTTTTTGTTTCTCCCATGTATATCTGCATTCACATGGCACCAAAAATAGACAATGCTTGTTGCTCTCGTTTTTGTTCATGGGTTTTGTCTTTGTGAGAATACTGCAAAGTGTGGTGTAGATTGAAAATCTAGTTTCAGCTAATTTTGTAGCCTATTCCGCTTCTTATGAATGCATCACTTATTCCATCAACATATCATAGAATTAGTGTATGCTGGGGCTCATTCTGGGTGTTTCTATTGCTGTCTGTAATTACTTCATTTCTCAGTCATCTAGGTAGCCATTTCTTATTAGGCCTTCTTTGGTGGGGTTGACTTCTTCCTAGATATTTGTCTGCGTGTTACAGATACTCTTCGACCGGTCGATGACGGTTCTAATTACGTCTCGTGGTTGCTAGATGACTGGAACAGAAATTTAGGTATTGTCCTTTTTGTATACAGTAGTTTCTATACTGGAATTGTTTTTGTTGCCATGATGTCCAATAATGGGAGGCTGTTGTTCTCTTCTTCCCTTGTAAACTTTATCGATGGTCTTAGATTGTTTAGGTGTTTGAAGAAGGCTTGTAGTTTCTCTTCCCGACGGCTCCAGATTACGAAAGTGTCATTCACATATTGAAGCCAAATCTCTGGCTTGACATTGAAGTTTTTAATAGCGATTGATTCAAGCCACTTCATGTATAAGTTTCCCAATACTGATAAAATTCTTCTTTTACTTTTCTATTATCCCTTTCACCGGTTGGCTTGTCTTCTGTTTCAAATCCTGCTCTTCTCTAAACTTAGTCTAGATTATTTGAAGAGCTTATTCAATCAGAGTCCTTGTCGTGTGATGTTTTTCCTTCCAGCGTGTATTATGGCCAGTAGATATTTGGCCAAATTATACGTTAGTGATCCTCTTGAGCTGGCTTTAGGCCAGAAAATGTTTACAGTAATCCATGTGTGGAAATCAAACAAGTATGGCGACCGATTGTAAGAAACATCAAACAACTGCAACTGAACCAACCACTGGTAACAGTATAAATAGTCAAGAAAGGAGTATGTTCGCCAGTTCACCTAATGACGATTGAAGACCACATCAAACGGAATGCCGTGAATCAAAAAACCTTATAGACAATGCAGGTCAGAGACAACATCTCGTTTTTCTTGTGAGAAATTCAAAATTAATAAATGATGTGTTGAAATGTATAAGTTGCGATTATGATAGTAACATAAATACTTACCAGGCATTTCTATGAGCTGAATTCTGTTGTTGCATCCCTCTCAGTTGCACCCGAACCTCCCCCAGGAAGACATCGTCACTGATACCAGGCGAATCGTGCCAAATGGACACGTGGAGTTCACAAATTTCTGCCGGGTCTTCCCCGTTTGGTGAGGATACGTCCTTGGAGTCATCCGCACTGCTGCTTCCGCTGTTGTAGAACGTGAACACTTCGTCGAATTGGGGGTTCGTCGTTTTTTTACGTACCTAGAAAACGGAAAAATTAATAAGACCCCGGGCATGAGTTGTAAGGTGGATGTGAAGTCAATTCAGACACAATGTACACCGTGGAATCGCCAGGAACAACATCGAGAAACAATCTCGCCGATAATATCTACAGCACAGCATATTCTGTCGCACACGGGAGCACCCGTCACGGTATCCCCAGCTAACTCTTGAGAATATTCCTCTATATAGTATGCAAGTAAACACTGAAGAATACTGTAGAAGGCTGTGACATCTCAGGTGAGCTCTCATGCAGGCCAGAGCTTGTCAAGCATGATGTCATCATGACATGTTGAATTTTTTTTACATGTTTCAATGCGCAGACGCTCTATGCAATATTCTTCGCCCACTAGATTTCTGAGTGCCACACCATCCTTGGCGACAGGATTGGCTTAATACGAATATAATGTATCCTCTTTGTGCTCTCAAGAAGATAGCAGGTGTTACAGTACTCCAATTGACTGCTTTCATGATGGAACTATCTCTGTCATTTCCAAATGAGGATTAGTTCTCCATTATACAGGGTATTTCAGAAATATGTAGCAATATTTCTCAAGTAGAAAGTACACCTAAAAATAGCAAAGCTCCCTATACACATAGATGCTAAAATGTCCCAATACCATGATAGAGAATGTTCACATGATCAATGATTCAAATTGAATTGTCTATAGAATAACCTTTAACTGTCATTGCAAAGAATGAGAAAATGAATGAGCGATAAAGATCGATTCAAAAAATAATGGCAATATTTCCAAAGCATAAAAAAGGTCCAAAAATTAAAAAGCTACTATGAACATACTACATAATATGTATATATATTATATAAAAGTAGTATTCTGATAAATATTTCTCAAGGGAGCCAATAAAAAAATACTATAGATGTTTCAAAAGGTCAGTAACATAGAAAACAATTTCTTTTTTCAAACACTTTGTATGTATTCACTATATTGTTAGTACTGAATGTACCAAGTTTTAAGTAAACATCTTAACATGCTCAGGAGATATAATTTTAGATTTTGAAATTAAAACCTCAACATACTGTATCTCTGTAAGGGGTAAGGGGGCATTTTGGGATTGATGTTTAAGAGAACCTTTTGGACCTAGTTTCTACTCTATAAATGTTGCCATATTTTTCTGAAATACCCTATATGTATGAGTATATTAATAAGTAGCAGCAATGTCCATTTTAGCTCCTAATAAGAAAACTTTTGTGAAGGTCAAACTGTCAAATTTAAATGAAAGAAAAGCAAATTTGATTGATTTCATCACATTTTGATGTTTGTTGAACAGCTGGTCAGCAATTTACAACTTTAAGCAAATTCTTTTCGCAAACAGTTCTTGTGCTTAACATAAAAAGCTAAGAATTTTTTGAGTGTTTTGGATACTTGCAAAAGAATGAGCCAGTTCTCAAATTGATTGGTTGGGACCAACACTTGACTATACATTGTTTCAGCTGTAAAGTTGGTCAGGTTTCCGCTGAAGTTTTTAAACTTTCAGAACATGACAGTAAAATAGTAAATACTACATATTATTGTTCCATATTTGCAATTCATTCCTCTTCAACATTCCGACTGTAGAGATGTTTTCCTGCCATACCTTTGTTTTCTTGGATATCCGCTTCCCATTTGTGTATACAACAGTCACCAGTGCATAAGGGTCACAAGCACCATTTTTCAATGTCAAATCCAGGCACTGCACTACTTGGACTATTAATTTTCTTAAGGTATTGAAGCTGCATGGTTTATTCTTGTTTACATCAGGCTCAAACTTTATTTGGATGTTGGCCTTCCCCTGCACTTCCGAATCTGCATCTACTGCCTTTATAGGAAACCTAAAAAATGAAAAACACGGATACATCACTTTGAGAGATGAACATATAACAAATTTAATAGAAATATTGAAGATGTGAAATGGGTGCGCATACCAATGATCCTTGTTATTATATGATGATAACTGTTCCCTTCTTATAGCAACCTTTCCCAGAACTTTGTTTTGTTTTAAGTGTCTGTCCCTATCAAAGACATATATGGAAATAAACCTGAAGTTTCTTGGTACCTCAAACTGGAACTCTTCACCAAAAAATGGGCTAAAATAAAACAAGACAACATTTAATATTTCCTTGCAAAAAGTAATAAAATTGTCTAGTATAGGTGTCCTCAATAAAGAGCAATAAACACTTACCTCAATGTCTGATAAACTGTGCATGTTCGGAATATCTCTTCTTGGTCCAATGACAATGTACAGAAAACATCTCTTTGTGTGGCTGACCCATGAACTCTAGGCTGGAGATTTTTTGCTTCTCCTAAAAAGTGTACAGAAGTCAACATCTATATTCTGATTATTTTATTGATATGGACTAATATAGGATTATATTAAACTAGTAGCTAAAAGTATAATTCGATATTCAGTAGGAGGAGCATATATGCTATTATATATATAAATTCAGATTAGGTAGAAGTAGCCAGTCAAGGATTTGTTTGTCTCTTAATTCTCATAGTTTATAGTAAGGATCAAGATGCACCTGACATGAATCATAATTTTTTGACAGTTTTAGTGGTATTTTTTAAAAGTGTGAGTAGATAATTGTGGTATTAGACAATTTCAAGACACAGTACTTATACAGTTACAAAGACCAGCACACACCTAATTAATGTAGATATTTCCACTGGTAGGTATTACTATTATGTTGTTACAACACTGTCACTTTGGTAAGCATTGGGAGTCAGGGAAGACTCAAGCTCTACTTGACAGTTCAAAATGCTGATCAAATTGTAGAGGAATTCAATTTAGATCAAATTTAGATAGGTAACTATATTACTTCATGGCAATTATATATGGGCCAGCCATAGTCACGTTCTTCACATAATAAGACTATAATGGACAAATGTTTATACAAATTTTTATAAAGCAATTATACAATATACACTGATATCAAAGGAAATACACACTCATGTTTTGCACTATTTTGCTATAAAGTTGTAAAGACAATGCTTCAAGTTATAAATTATCAAATTAATATAAGTAACTCTCAGATTCTCAATATTTACTTCTCAATAATTTTAAGTCAATTAAGTAAGGTCAGGTTTAATAATATAATTTTAGGGTCATATTTTGTATTTACATGAGCAAGACTCTAATAGACAGTAAGTAGGTGTCATCAACTAACATGAGACATGTGATAAAAGTTCTTTAGACTTGTTACAAGTTAAATTTCAGGTTTAAATATATTTAATAAGATGGAACTGCATAAGTATTGACAATTTTTGCAATCTACATGAAAACAAAACATAATATTTTTTGTAAATAGTGAAGTCAGATAAGGTGACTAGAGTAAATATGACAAAACAATGGTTTTATTGAATGAACTAATAATTCCAATACTTTTGGCCAGTGCAGTATTTACGAATTGTAACTTCATTGACTATTGTTATGTAGGTGTATATTGGTGAGAATCTGTTGATTCATGAGGTTCATTGATCAATTTTATAGAGTTTAGAAGGTATGATTCATGAAATATCATACCCATTTCCTGGAAAAGTAGTTAATTAGGAGACGGTTTGGCGTAAAATGCATAAAATTGACAACATCGCAGTTTCCTTTGGAAACTGAAACTCTTTTCCTGTATGTCTAGGTATTTTTTCCGGAAATAAAAACAACCTCAAACCATATTTTTGCCATAATCTAAACTCAAAGCCCAGACATTTTTTGAGTAACTTCAGAAAACTGTGACAAACACGATTCCCACCTACGGGCACTACACGTACAAACAGGCATGCACAACTTTTCGAGTGGATACAAAAAAAATAAGCTCAAAGGGTGCCTATGCGCTTGCAAGATATTTTTCAGAAGCAAGTTTATGAAACAACTCACCTATTTTTATTTTAAGCCGTTCTTCCAATCTGACACTAATATGTTCATCGGCAGCCATATTTATCCAGCACGGTCTAAAAAATGAATGAAATGATTGTCATGAGCTGGAAGTGAATTCAAGTATCACCGAGACGCACAGGACTCATCCTTGACACACAGGTACACGCACATTTGTGATATTTAACGTTCAGTAATTCAGGTTAGTCATTCCCGAAAGATTAACGAAATGGGTAGACGATTTATGAATGAAATTCAAGGCTAGATGCGTACAACACCACATTACAACACTGCATTCTCCTCAGTCTTTCCTTCTCCTCGATCCCCTCTCTCTCCTCCCACACCATTTGCCAGTGGCGTGAAGGAGAATGGGACAAATAGGATCGATGTACATGACAAATAAAAAGGTAAAACGGAGATAAGGTAGGTTGACTCTGGACTTCCCATGCAAAGCTCAGTTCATGAAAAATTACGTTCAGCACAACTAGCTACAATCAAATGAAACAAAAAAGTTAAATGGATGCAGTCAGCCATACAGGCCCAAACATTTAGAACATACTCCATAGTCCCTATTCATTTGATAAAGCTAACGCTAGATCCCTCCCTGCCCTAAGTATCGAAGAGCTCGCAACGGAGCTAAACCACACGAGTCAACCATGCGATAAGCACCAGCCACGATACTATATCTCTAAATCGAGAACGCTAGTGATGAAGTCAGATGCACACATTCTGGCGCAACGTCCCACCTACCGTTTGTCGCCTCTGTTATTATTTCTCTAACAAGGAAACCGTACACCCTTTCTGTCATCGATTTTACAACAGCTCTAAATACGCCTCAAAATAAGGAATGTACTGCACTGGAAAGGGTGAGTCTCACTATTTTTCCAAGTGTCAAAAATTCCTAATGCAAGAATTGACTACATGTACTCTAAAAATTATTCCTCCGAAATGCACTGCACTTTGTCCACCATGCGATATTTACTTCCACCGGCAAATCAAAATGATGTGTGAAATATGTTCTAATAGGTGCGTAAAATTACCGAGGTTGGAATCGTATAAATATACTGCCGCTAAAATGAGATATTATCTCCCACCCCCTACATCCGCCAGCTCCCGATTTTTAACCCCTACCAAAATATTTCTGAAAATGATCCGGAGCCTCTGAAACGGCAAAAACGAAGTTTGAACAGTTATTTTTTTTTACCTTAATGCCTTCGCCACTGGTTCGATTTTGAAAAGCTACATCGCTTTCTCGTCCTGAGCATAGTAGTATTTCGTTTGAAAATTTCCATAAAATTACTTTCTAAGAGCCGTTTTACACACAAGAGAATTACTCCGAAAATTAGGGTTATAATTATGCCGAAAATTATTGCTGTCGTATTACACCTAAAAGAATTCTTGTGAAAATTTTCATGGTAAAAATATAAAACCCGTTCTATATAATATGCGCGAGAATCGGCGCAGAGGATTATTTCCGTCCATGTCATTATCAAATGTCAACGTCAACAACATAACCCCACTTAACATTTGTGGGTATGGTCCTGTTCAAGTCGTACTACAAAGAAGCGTTTATTGTTATTGTTTATTCATAATGTGGAATCAGGAAGAAGTTACACTGTTGTTGTAGGAGTACCAAAAATGGGCAAACCTGTTCAAGGTGAAGTATCCCAATTTCAAAAACAGAAATTTGCGGCGTCAGGCTGGATGCGATAGTCCAAGCATTGAGAAGTTTTATAATATTAACCAAGATCTCGATTTCAAAAATAAATTTAAATCAACGACGTATGTTGTCTTTACGATTATATTGGACGTCATACCCGTTAAGGTTATGTCCATTCGAAAATATTACTCTAATGCGCAGGCGTATCATATGAATTACTCGGAAATTTTGTTTGCTTGTGTCATACAGGTTGTAGAGAAAATCTTCATATTTTTTCCATGCAAATTTTCGGCATAATTATGACCATAATTTTCGGAGTAATTCTCTTGTGTGTAAAACGGCTCCAACATAACCAAGGATTAGCGGATTGATAGACCGACAGGCACATCGACCAAAATGAGTGACATGATTTTTCGTGATGTACATGTATAATATCCAAAAAATATATCCCATTTTCGAATTTTTTCACGTTCCAATACTTCCTCGCTAGCAGGTGTGGGAGGTAAAATGTTACTTTCAAACCATTTCGTGATAATCAAGCGCATTGTAACAATCCAAAAGTTTCTGTTTAAGGGCTACGCGGCGCACCATTATTATTCGATGCAGTTCAGAAAGTAAGAGAAGGAGGGCGGTTCGGCCTATCGGTAACACTTTCTTAAGCTGTAACTTGCATCTCGTCACAGTTTATAGAAGTTCCTGCAATTTTTATAGGCTCAAGGTATTGTACCGACTTGTGTTTCTGTCGAGTTTGAGCGAAAAGACCGCGGAGAAAACGTATAGGGAATGAATTTAGGCTAGGCTAGTTTAAAACGATACCATGTTTATAGATCTCAACACGTAAAACAAAAGTGCCCATGGATCCAAAGTTTTTCCACAAGCAGCTTCCAAGGTACGGAGCCTCTAAGTTGGACAGTCCGTACATCGAATTGATGTTTTGGTACACGATATGTAATAGCGATTTAATATTTATATTTTTGTCGTAATCATCATTGCTTCTGGCTGGTTGAGCAATATTGTAATTCTGCCACAGGCTTTCATGGATGAAGTTTTGCTCCAAGACACAAAAACTGTCCAGGATTATTGTCCACACAGTGGGGGAATACATTTAAAAAATTGTCATAGGGAGTGTTAATAAATATTTACTTTCGTTTCTTTGCCTTATTTAATTTAACTCTGTTTATTAACAATAACTGAGCGATTCACATCGCAACACAGATAATATATTTCCGCCTTGCTCTACGTGAGCACATCTAGTATGAATAGCTACTTGAATATCCTTTCCTGGGAAAGTAATGTACACCGATGTATTGCTTTGTCTCTTTGGTAGGTAATTGAAGTCAAATTAATGAAACGTCTGCACTAAAACTGCACAATATTTGCGACAAACAAAACAATGTGAAATTATAGGCTTGTCTCTTGATCTATTCAAATTCGTTGATATACAAGAATCTGCTTAAAACCGACTCAATCAACGCTGCCACTGCTTTAAAGGGCTTCTCTACACACAGAGCGACGTTGCTGGAGTTTCCGCCTTATGTCCCTTTCACATAAGACGTTTGTTCAACGCATCCTCCAAGTCAAGAATTTTATGACAAAGCGGTCGTAGTAAAACCACAACTGAAAAATTCCCATATTTCCATTGATTATTTTATAATTACACCCATTTCCCATTTAGCACAGACAGTCACGTTCATTAAGTTTTCTGTAGTAAGAGTTTGGAACAATCGCTGACGCTGGGAAAGTACAGAACGAAACTAGATCAAGAAACTTGGTAATTTCATTGTAAGTACACATACACATCGGACGTTGGAGATAAACGTGCTTGTGGTCTCGTGAGGATTGCTACTTCCGGTGTTGGCTTGTTTTGTTTTTTACGTTTCCACGATCTATTTTCATACACGATTCGGAGCATTCCGTTTCAATGGCTCTTTATAAGCTTTGGGTGGGGTTATCAAGAATGAAAAACGAGATTTCCAAACATAATATATTCTTGACTTAAACCAACAACTCAACTTTTAAGTAGGCATGTCACACATCCAGCGTGAGGTCAAAATTCTTTTTGATTTTCGTTAAAATATGGCAGGTTTTCACTCTCCTTTGCTCAGATCATAATATTGACATCAAAGTTTGACTCTGCACTAATTCTCGGGCGAAAAAAAGTCGACTAGCTTAATTCCAAAAAGTTCGACAGTTGGCAGATTTTATATTGAGGGGAAGGCAAATGACTTTATTGTCGACATTATTCACTGTTTTGCATGACACAAATCGATTCCCTTCTCCTGAGTGGGTAATACCTTACCATAATTAAATCCAAGCGAATAACCAAAATTTCCGTAGTCAGAATCACGAAAGATGACCTTTACACGTCATACCATAAATTGTACTGAAGTAATCAGTAGACGTACGTCGATGATAAAATCACGATGTCAGGAATGATGACAACAAATTTATATTATGATTTTGCCAATTTAGGTTATTTCACTGATTATTTTTATTTTTATTTAATTTCATGATTTTGAGTAATAATAATCTTGTTGCGGAGTTTTGAAAAAAACAGTTATGATTAGAATACCTTAAGATAGAAACACCAAAGACCAAAGTATTATTCGAAAACAACCTAACCTGCCTTAACATAACCTAACTACTCATCTTTCAAATATGATCGATCATGCAACATGAAAACATCGTCTATATTTGTCGGATACATGCATATTAGCAATACAGTTTATTTATACAACAAAATTCTGCTTTTCTCTGTCTAGCATACCTGAAACTTCATTAAAAATATTCACAAATCGCTGTCGCTTGTCTTTACTACAGACTAAAATGATGATCTTACGTGATTTGGACTATATGAGCGAAATCAGTTTCTGTGTTAGTGAAGCGATATGTCTGAAATTGGAACAATCGGTGCAAATGCACTTTCCATTTTTATGGCAATTTTTCGAACAAGAAATCATTATTTTGACAACGAAACTGAAAAGGACGTGCAAAGGTACAGTGGATTACAGTATTAGCCAATTATTATTCCTTTCCTGGCCAAAAAACGTCAAGAATTGAAAAAAAAAACAGCGAAATGAAGTTCGGATTTTTGGCGATGTTCCGGGCAAACTTCATGACTATATGTGGATCTCAAAAAAATGCAAGAAAGCACTGATATATAGTGGATTTTTAAAGTCTGACTAATTTTCATTACCTAAAGAAAACATTGAAACAATTTTGGTTGTACGTATAAGTTCCACAAACCTATAAGGAATCCCGGTTATTTAGAATATAACAATGTAGCAAAGATAATTTTGTCCATATGTAGTGAGCAAAAGTGCACCTGTAAAAACTATTTTAGAAAAAACACGTTTTTCAGGTTAGGGGCTGCTAGGGGCGAACTATACCCTATTTAACGAGCATACATCACGGTATAATGACTGCTGATTATCTAGTAATATCTCAAAATTCCCTATACTACGGATTCATTTTGAACTTGCTAAAAGCTCTTTTATTTAGAAAAGTTGACTTGCATACAAAAAACAAATGCTACAAACAAATTTTGTTAGATTTACACCGGATTCATTATTGCCAACGTCGCAGATTAACACTAAAGTGTCACTTGCTGATCAGTTGTTCACCTCAGTAGACGTCAAAGCGTGATGGATACTCGTGAAGTAGGGTGTATAGATCTGAGGATTTGGATACCTTTGGGGGCAATTTTCATATGTAGTTTCAGCTACGCTTTTAATAATGACTTCAGATTCATATTCAAGCAATATTATGATTGCAAGAATTTGATATAATACTTAATATTAGCATTAGCACCATGTGAAATAATATATCTGACACGCGATTTAACAAATAATATGGCGGCGTACAATACATAATCAAATCTCTCGGTACTTACATCTACTTAAACATCTAGCAATCAGTAAGAGCTCGGATGTAAAAGTGGAAATATTATCTTAAAAGATAATCTAATCTTATATCCTTGTTCATTGATCTATTTGTAAATTATGAATTTCCTTATACTATATCATTGTGAGACGGAGAATTTACGATGAATGTTTTATGTCTTTTACAGTAGGTACTTAACTACATGACTCTCTACTTAAACATCTAGCAACGAGTAAGAGCTTGGATGTAAAAGTGGAAATATTATCTTGAAAGATAATCTAATCTTACATCCTGTTCATTGATCTATATTGGAAATTATGAATTTCCGTATACTATATCATTGTGAGAAGGATAATTTACGATGAATGTTTTGTCTTTTACAGTAGGTACTTGACTACATGGCTCGTAGTAGATGAATCACTTCCTCTTAAATCGTCGGAAAACAAAAATTTCGCAGACTACGTTCGAGAGAGGTGTGCGAGTATGAGAGAGGGAACATAATATGTTATATGTATTTGCAGATGTAAACATCCACGCGTTTATTACTCGTATAAACTAGATTAAGCCCGCGGCTCCGCTTTAGAGAAACAAATGCAAAATTCAAAGTAATGTAATAGTTACTTTGGCAATGATATTTGGATATTATATGACATGTATATCACGAAAACCCATGTCGCTCATTTCGTCCGTTTGTCTGTATGTCCGCTAATCTTATAACCGCCTATAGCTTGAGAAATACCGCTCGAATTTAATAGTTACTTTGGCAATGAACATTTCTTATCCATTGTGTTAGTGCAACGATACATTAATTGCAATGTTTCAATTTTACTTCCCATGCCTACTGTCGGGGAAATATTGTAATCGCGAAAATTTTCGTAACTGCTATAGTACGTTTTTTGGATGTTAAATGACATGTACATCACGAAAACCCATCTCACTCATTTCGTCGGTTTGTCTGTATGTCCGCTAATCTTATAACCGCCTCGCTCGAATTTCGCTTAAATTACTTCTATGCCAAGAACGCAAAAGCTGTGTAGCTTTTAAAAATCGGTTCATTGGCGGCAGAGAAAAAGTCCAAAAA